ATTGTTGCAGGGAAACTGATATGTATTCAGCCATTTTGCTGATGTCACTCTCCTTATCAACTACTTAATGAAGAAATAATACCGGTTACCAAAATTCTTAGAAAACAGAAGAGAAGGGAACATCTTATACTCATTTTATGAATACAGCATAATTCTCACATTAAAACCTGACAAAAATTACAGCTAATATATCTCATAAACAGATAAAAAATCCCTAACTATTAGTAAATCATATGTAAAAGTACATAAAGAGAATAATACATAAATGGGTTTCTTCTAGAAATGTAAGTTTTAACCCCTGTAAAGTCAAGTAATATAATATAGCCTATTAACAAACTATTAGAAAAATGAAACCGTCTCAATAAATGTGGAAAAAACATTTGAAAAATTCAACACCCATTTATGATATACACTAGAAATGTTTCTTTAGTTTTTTCCATAAAATAAAATATGCATTTTTCATTTTCACCAATAACTTTATTGATGTGGATATTTTCAGTATGTCAGCCATCTTCCACGTGATGCAGTGTTGATTTTTCTCAGTTAATGTTTCAATTTGATTGCTATCAACTTCAACTGGTCTACCCAAATGTGGAGCATCATCCAGCAAGAAATCTCCAGCACAAAACTTCGCAAACCACTTTAGACACATTCCATCAGTCACAGCACCTTCTCCATACACTGCACAAATCTTTTTTTGCATTTCAATTGCGTTTTTACTTTTCTTGAAATAATAAAGCATAATATGCCAAAAATGTGTATTTTCTTCCATCTTCAACATTAAAATGGCTACACAAAATTCATCAATTTTTAAATGCATGCTAATATGACAGGGGTCACAATACAATAAAAAAATTGTTTTGAATGAAATTAAAGACAACTAAGCAGTACTAGAGCTATCTTACAGAAAAAAGCAAACAAACTTTTTGGCTAACCCTATAGAAGGGAATTACTTTTAATGTTATAAAGGACATTCAGAAAATACCTATATCTAACATAGAGCTAACATCATACTTATTTAATGAAGTGTAATACTTAATGCTTTCCACCTAACATCACTAAAACACAGGATGTTTTACTAAATTTTTACTACTTTCATTCAACATTGATGCTATACAATGGAATAAGGAAAAAAACTAAATGACATACATACTGGAAAATAAAAGGTAAAACTTTTTTCTCAGAAGACATGTGTTGTGTATTTGTGTAAAAAAAATTCAAGAAAGTCAACAATGAAAAAACACTAATGAAAATATTAAGCTAGGTATTATAAGCCATTGTCAAATTCCAATGATCTCTATGTAATGTAATTTTTTAGACTAAAAGCATATAATCAGTTTACTTCCAACAGTAAATTTCATATCATTATTGTCATATTTGCTCATTTTTGTCAGCATTTGTATAAAAGAGAGCAACTCTGATGCTTGATTAGTTACCAGCCACATATACAGTATATGCTATAAATTTTCTTTCTTATACTGATTCATTTGAACTACTCTAAACTCTTTTATTTTTGTCACTTAACAATTGCACAACTACATCATAGTACAGTTCCATATTTTCTGATGACTAATTCGAGTAATACTTCTCTATACTTAGAAGGCATAATTATGTCTTCCTACATCAGATCATAAAAAGTAAATTGATGTTCAAAAATCAAATGTATTTCTACATACTAACAATTGGAAAACAACGTTTCATAAAAACAATAGTCTTTATAATAGCACCAAAACCCAAAACATTGTTAGAAATAATACAAAACAAAGATATAAAAAACATGTTCACTATAAACAACAAAACATGTCTAAAGAGGTTATGTTCTAATGTGGGGAAAGTGCTGCTCTCTGCGTGTTGGCAAAAACCCAGCACCATCAAGCTGGCCCTGTGCCTGGTCTGTCTGTCAGGGCATTGTGTTCTAATGCCATGTTGAGTGAAATGAGTCAGACAAAAAATGTCAAGAACCATATGATTTCACTCCTAAGTGGGATGTTAAGCTGAAAGGAACAAATGAGCAAACAAGAAAAACAAACAAAAACTCATAGACCCAGACAACTGTTGGGAAACGCCCTGTCTGGTTTCAGGAACTGTAACCACGCCAACAGGTGAGAGGACCCCAAGGCTGGAAATAATCAAGGAGGCCTTGGGAAAACAGGCCACTGAGGAGATGAAACCTGCCCCGCTCACGTCACCCTGCTTGGCCCTGTGAAGTTCGGTTGCTGATGACGGGTAGGTTTTCTCATGAGGAGAAACAACCTAAGACAGACATCGGCTGGTATGGGCAGCAGACATGGACTTGGGGGACGCGGAGAAAGGCCAAAAAGGCCCACACCCATCGGTTTGGCTTGGACATGGCCGGAGTCCTCATTCTATCCGAAAGAAGTCTCCTTGTCTCTTGGCTGCTCCCTCCCCCTACCTGGCTAAGACTCAAAACAATACTGGAGGCAGTCCTAAACTAGATCTGCCAGTTCCCAGGGGAAATCAGGCTTAAAAGTAAATTCTTTAAAGTATGTTTTGTTTCTCCCTCAAAAGCTATAGACAGCTCATGCTGGGAAGGAAATTTACATTATTCACAGACCCTAACCCTATACCCTTTGGCACTCTCATGTTTACACTCTCTTGTTTATTAGTCTCCTCTCGGACCCATGTAAATCGGTGTGTTCCTGCCATTTGTTTTCTTCAAAACATCACCTATTCTCTGTAAAATTAACATACTGATGTAATGAGATAGCCTGTGCATTCCTAGTACCTGGCCCCACTGATAACCTTTTCAATAAAAGCCTTTGAACAAAGGGGCTCGGGGCCTTCCCCACTAGAGGGAGGAGCCGTGTCCCCTCTCTTGGCAAAAAGAGAAGTGTTTGCCACGACCCGTGTTTATTCCCCGCATCTGTGACAACCCCGGGATGGGCTCTTCGGGATTCAGAGCCCCGCTCCCTCCTCAGCTGGCCTGGGACAGTAACCCTCAGATCCAGGAGCATCCGTGTGCCCCGCACTCCCCGCAACACGCTCTGGACCTGCAGCAGTAGTCGCCCAGACCAGGGACTAGCAGCAGCCTGTGCACTGCTCACCTAGGCGACAGATGGTGCCTGAACAGGGATGAGCAGCAACAGACAACAGAATGGTTATCAGCGGGAAGGTGGGAGAGGAGCATAATAAAGGGTAAAGGGGGTCAAATATATGGTGACGAAAAATGATATGACTTTGGGTGGTGGGCTCACAAGGCAATATACAAATAATGTATCATAGAATTGTATACTTGAAACCTATGTAATTTTATTAGCCAATGCCACCCCAATAAATCTGATAAAAAAGAGAAAAGGATTCATGGTCGCATAACTCTGTAAAAGGGCAACTTTTATGGTATGTGAATGATAATTCAAAATCTGCCTATAAGAAAATAATAGCCCCGGCCAGGTGGCTCAGTTGGTTGGAGCATTGTCCCATAGACCAAAAGACTGTGGTTTTATCCCCAGTCAGGGCACATACCTAGGTTGTGAGTTCAATCCCTGGTTGGGGTGTGCACAGGAGGCAACTGATTGATGTTTCTCTCTCACATCGATGTTTCTTTTTCACATCGATGTTTCTTTCTCTTTCTCTCTCTCAAAAGAAAAAAAACCAATACTCATATCCTTGGGTGAGGAATAAAATAAATAAGTGAATGAATTGAATGAATAAATAAGTAAGCCAAACTCATAGAAACAAAGAGTAGAGTGGTAGTCACTGTGGGCTGGGAGGTAGGAGAAAAGAGGAGATGTTTGTCAAAGGCTACAAACTTCCAGTTATAAGATGAATACGTTCTGCAAATCTAATGTACAGCATGATGCTTATTGTGTACTTGAAAGCATATCATATACTTGCAGGTTGCTAAGAGAGTAGATCATGAATGTTCTCACCGTACACACAAAAAAAGAAATGGTAGTTATGTGACATGATTCAAGTATTAGCTAATGTTACGGTGCTCATCACTGCAATTTATGAATCAAATCAACATATTATACACCTTAAACTTATACATTGTATAATCTGGGGGTAGGGAAGATTTTCATGTGAGACCAAAAACTATAAAACTCCTATAATAAAACATAAGAGAAAAACTTTTGGACATTGGTCTAGGCAATAATTTTTTGCACATGACACAAAAACACAGGCAGCAAAAGCTAAAATAGACAAGTGGGGGCTTCATTAAACTAAAAACCTTCTCGGGGAAGGAACAATCAACACTGAAAAAGAAACACAGAATAAGAGAAAGTATTTGCAAATATTATATCTGATATGGGGTTAATCCCCAAAGCATATGTCACAATCCAATAACAAATACAAATAATGGGATTTTGCAACAGCAAAGACTTGAAAAGACATTTCTCAAAGGAAGACATTAAAATGGTCATCGGATATATGGAAGATGTGCTCAACATCACTAATCATCAGGGAAATGCAAATCAAAACCACAACTCACACTTTTTAGATAATTATTATCAAAAAGACAAAAGATATAAGTGTTAGCAGGAATGTGGAGAGAAGGGAACTTTCGTACACTGTTGACAAGAATAAAATTGGTACAGCTATTACAGATAACAGCAAATAGACTCCTCAAAAATTAAAAATAAATGAACTTATGATCCAGAAATAATATATATATTCATTCTATGAGGCTATTATTACCTTATATGAGACCAGTGTTACATTCTATGAGGCCAGTATTATATATATATACAATGGATATTTTGAGTAGTTTAATCGTGGCAATTATTTCACAATGTATATGAATACCAAAGCATCAAGTCATGTACCATAAACATATGCATTTTTAGTTGTCAATTAATACCTCAATAAAGTTTGAAAAAATAAAAATATGTAAGTTAAACAGAATAAACAATTTAAGTTTATATACTTATATATAATATAAATATATGGAATATAAATTATACATAATTGACCATTGTCTTGCTAATGTTAATAAAATATTAAAGACCAACTACATAGATGTTACAAAACAGTATTACCTTTTCCAAATATGGATTCACAACGTGCATCAAGATCATGGCAGTCTCCATCATAACAAATAAATTTGTTTTTACATAAACGTCCATTGAGTATAGTCACATCAGGAGCACATTCTCCTGAGCTTCCATTACAAGATTCAGGAAGATCGCACTCTGGATGCGCAGTGGGCCTACATACGGTACCTGCACTTGCAAACTAGTAGAAATTAAAATATAAAAAATAAAGCACTATATATGATAGTTGTGTTTATCAATATTTATTTCAAAATCGTGTTAATTTCATTCATATGTTGATAACCCATTAATGTCTCTTAATATCTTCTATATAAAGTATTATGCTAATTATATTGAAAAACATGAGTGTTATTAACTAAAACGGGAGATAAAACATATACACAAGGAAAAGTATAATATAAATATGGTGTGATGAGAGGCAAGGTTTTGTCTGTGTTTTTGTGCAAGGGAGGAAAAATCACTTTTAGCTTGTGATAATTACTCCTTTTGGGTGAAAATAGTTTAACTTATACAATTTCCAAATAAAATACAGTTATTCAAATCACAGTCAGTAAATATGGAATATCAGTAATTACAATCTTTCTCCTAAATTATCCCATAGTTAGCTATCGTTTCCACATACAGAACTCTAAAAATTTATATAAAGAATCTTAAATGAACATCTCTCATACTCCCTAATTGATTGTTTTCAGTTGACACTAAAAAGATCAGCAGTAAGAATGTAACCACATGATAAGATTCTAGAGAAAACTAACATAAAACTGTGTTAGTGAAGGACAGTCAAGAATAGAGAACCCATGGTAGGTATTTCAACAGAGGGATTCTCATACAACAAATGTGTTACAAATATATTCAAAGAACTGAAAAGGAAAACAGGGGACACGAGTCAACACCTTTTATCATATAAGCTAAAATGTGATCTTTAGGACAAATTATCTTTGAATTATAAGTTTATAGTTTAAATTTTATGCTAATGTAGCATTTGGAACTGTTCTGGTGAGCTTCATTATTTATACATTTGTGGGAAATTGCTATGTCTTTCAATATATATACAGACACCTATCACAACCAGTAACATTTTTTATTTGTAAAATATAAATGTTGGATGAAGTGAATGAAAATAATCCCTTTTAATGGAGATTTTCTAAATTGGAGAATTCTGTAATAGCTCTCAATCAAGGCTTGAAAACAAAAGCATCAAGTTAGGGAGAATAATGGCATTATAATAGAAGACCTCAAAATCCAACGAAAGTTCACAAAATTCGAAACCTGATTCTGAATTTAGTTATCTTTTTTTTATTTGAAAGGTCATTTGTTTGACTTACAGCGGTAGGTCTGAGTGTTATAGAGAATTTCAGACATGGCTCATTATGCACGTAAACTGAAATCTTACTTTACAGTTGTGGCAGCACAGCCCTCTGTCACACTCCGACTCGGGCTTCAGCACGCAGCGCACAGGGTCGCAGCAGCTGGCTGGCCCGCATTGCTGCGGAGGAGACGAATGTAAATAAAAACTCATTATAACGTAACATAAACTTTGGCAGGAGCTGTATTTACTGGGCTTTTGAGTTTTGGGAAAGAATATGAATGCTTTCAACATTTATAGATTTTTGTATCTCTACACAATTAAAATACTAAGGTACTTCAAGAGAAACAGAGTAACTGGAACCCCATTAACTCTCAACTAGAATACTGGGCAAAACACATGGAACACTCTTTTCAGAATCTGGATAATGTTAACAGAGAGGACAGTGGTTACCAGTGCCTGGAGGGTGGGAGAAATGGGGAGATATTGACTTAAAAAATATAAACTTTCACTTATAAAATGAATTATTTCTGAGAAACTAACATACAGCATGATGCCTCCAGTTAACTATAATGGATTATATACTTGAAATTTCATAAGAGGGCAGATGAAGTATTCTCACTGCACACAAAAATAAGTAACTGCGTAGTGATGAATATGTTGGATTGTAACAATCATTTTACAATGTATGTATATAGAAAAATGCCACACTGTACACCTTAAATATATATATACAACTTTTATTTGTCAATTATACCTCAATAAATCGGGGGGTGAGGGCATACAGAGTGTAGGCCCACTGCAGAGTTAAAGAGAACAGTCCCTAAGGCTTCCTTCATCAGTTCCATCGTCAGTTCAGTGAAGTTTGACAGTTTACCAGAAGACCTCACGGACCTCACTAAAAGCCGGTATACGCAACAGTTATGGTTTATTGCATGAAAAGGATACAGATTAAAATCAGCCAAGAGAAAAATCATCTAGGATAGAATCCAAGAGAAGCACTAAACATGAAGCTCTTACTACCTTCACCCCATGGAATCAGAGACACACTACACTCCAAGCACTAATGTGACACTTCTTAACTCACTCTATGAGGCCAATATTACCCTATTACCAAAGTCAAGACACTACAAGAAAATAAAATTACATAACAATATCTCTCATAAACATGGATGCAAAATATTCAATAAAAATTAGAAAATCAAATCCAATAATGTATAAAAAGTATGTACCACAACCAATGGGACTTATCACATGTATGCAAGGCTGGTTCATCAATAAACATCAATTAATATAATCCACCATATTGACAGGCTGAAGAAAAAAATCATATCATAACAACTGATATATTGAATAGAATAAGCATCTGACAAAATCCAACTCTCACTTACACAAAATGTTAGCAACACCAGAATAAAGGGGATCTTTCACAATCTAAAAATGAACAACTAAGAAAAGTCTACAGCTAACATCACACTTATGGCTAGATATGCTTTCCCCTTAGAGTTCAGGATGAGGCGAAGATGCCCCCTCTCACCACTGCTTTCAAAATCTTAACACAGTAAAACAAGAAAATACAATTTTTAAAAAACTACATGTTAGAAAGAAAGAAGTAAAATTGTTTTGTCCATAGATTACATGATTGTCTCTGTAAAGAAAATTCTAAATAATTGACCAAACAATAATAGCAACAACAAAAACTTCTCATGGCTAATAAGTAATTATACCAAAGTTGCTAGATACAAATTAGTACACAAAATTCAACTGTTTTCTTGTATAGAAACAATAAAAAAAGTGAGAATTTAACATAAAAAAAACACAATTCCATTTACATTATCACCAAAACAATGAAATTCTTTGGAATAATTCTAACAAAATTTCACAGGATCTATATTTAAAAAAACTACAAAACTCTGATGAAAGAAATCAAAGAGGGTATAAATAAATGGAGAGATATTCCATGTTCATGAATAGGAAAACTCAGTATTATTAGGTCATCAGTTCTTCCCAACCTGATCAAGAGAGTCAATATAATTCCTATCAAAATTCCAACAAGTTAAGAAACTGACTCTCAAGTTTATATAAAAAGGCAAAAGACTTATGCTAATCAATATAATACAGATAAAGAAAAAGGAGAAAGAGGAAGAGGAAAACTGAGGGATTGACAATACCCAACTTCAAAACTTACTATAAACTGAAATAATGAATGTATGGTATTATACAATAATGAATGTATGGTATTATACAAAAAATAGAGGCCCCAGAAATAACCTGTACAGAGATAATAAAGTCTTTGACAATGAAGCAAATGCAATTCAATGGAGAATGGATAGTATTTTCAATAAATGATGACAGACAATTGGATATCCACATGAAAAATAAGGAACTCTAGACACTGACCCTACATCTTTCACACATACCCAAACAAACCCATGGAAAAAAACCCCAAATGCATCACAAACCTAGATGTAAAATTAAAAATGGCAAAGGACCTGAATAGACACTTCTCTAAAGAGAACATACAGATGGCCAATAGACATATGAAAAAATACTCAACAGCCCTGATTATCAGAGAAATGCAAATTCAAACCACAATGAGACATCGTCTTGCACCTGTCAGAATGGTTATCATCAATAAATCGATAATGCAAACTGGTGCAGTCACTGAGGAAAACAGTATGGACTTTCCTCAAAAAATTAAAAAAGGAAATGCCTATGACCCAGTGATTCTGCTTCTGGAATATATGCAAAAAAATCCTAAACACTAATTTGAAAGAATATATGCACCCTTGTGTTCACTGCAGTGCTGTTTACAACAGCCAAGATTTGGAAGCAACCCAGGTGCCCATCAGTAGGTAAGTAGATTAAAAAAGCTGTGGAATGTTTACACAATGGAATGGTACATGGCCATAAAAAAGGAAGGAAATCTTACCTTCTGTGCCAGCATGTACGGACCTGGAGAGTATTATGCGAAGTGAAATAAACCAGTCAGAGTAAGAAAAGTAAGAAAAGTGAATATGATTTCACTTATATATGGAATCTAATGAACATAATAAACTAACAAAATAGGAACAGACTTAGACACAGAGAACAGAGTGACAGCTTTCAGAGGGGTGGCAAGAAGGGAGATGGGTGAAAAAGACAAAGGGATTAAGAAAAATAAACAAACAAAAAACATAGACACAGAAAACATTATGGTGATTCCCAGAGGGAAAGGGAGTGGGGGAAGGTGGAGGAGGGTAAAGGGGGGATAAATGGTGATGGAAGGAGACTAGACTATGGGTGGTGAAAACAATATAATATACAGATGACGCATTATAAAATTGTACATTTGAAACCTATAATTTTGTTAACCAATGTCATCCCAGTAAAATCAATACATTTTTAAAAAGGAAGAAGATCTAAACTGAATACCATGCACAGAGATTGGCAGACTCAATATTGGTATGGATGCAATACAGTTTCAATCAAAGTCCCTACATTCACATGATGAGTCTCTAATTTATACGGAAATACAAGGGTCCTAGAATAGTAAAACTATCTTGGAACAGACAAAGAACAGTAAGTCTTTTTTCGAGCTTACTATATAAGTACATTAATTAATAAAGCATAGAATTGGAATAAGAACAGACATAAATCAAAAGAAAAGAATCCAGGGATAGACACACATGTGTGGTGCTTTGTTTTCATAAGGATGCTAAAGTAAAACAATGGTGAAAAGGTAGTTATTTTAATAAATACTGCTAGAAAAAAGTCATATTCTTATAAAGGATGATTGTCAACCCAAATCTCTTAACAAAAACAAACTCAAATGGATTACAGACTAATTTAAAATTTTTAATTGTATAACTTCTAGTAGAAAACATAGAAGAAAATATTCATTACTTTGGGTGAGTAAAGATTTATTAGGACATAAAAAGTGTGAGCATAGCAGAAAAATGATAAATTGGACTTTATAAAAACAAATAATGTCTGCTATTCAAAGACTAAGTTAAGAAACTAAAAAAAAAAACTAAAAGGGTAACATATAGATTAGAAACAAATATGTATAATATACATGTCTGACAAAGAAATGGTATCTAGCCTATAAAAGAACTTTTACAAGTCAATAATAAAAAAATTAAGTGGAACCTAGCCAGCAAGCAACCAGGCAAGGAAAATAGGACTAGCAACATTGAAAGAAAGAAGAAACCAACAGCAACAGGAGGGGGGTAGTGGGAAGGGGTAGCGGGGAGGGTCAGATCAAGGAACAGGTGTAAAGGACACATGGTCAAAACCAAGGTGGGGAAGGATTGAGGGCGGGAGGTGGGGTCGGGTGGGGCATGGGAGAGTGGTGGCAGGTAAATGGAAACAAATATATTGGAACAATAAAAAAAAATTTTAAATATAAACACCTTAGTTTTAAAAACTGGCAAAATATTTGAGGAGATTATTCAAGCAACAAATGGCTAATAACAAGAAGAGAACATGCTCAACATGATTAGGGTCATCGAGGAAATACAAATCAAAACCATCGGAAGTTTCACATATCATTGATAGGAGTGTATAATGATGCAACAATTTTGGAAAATAGTTTGGAAGAGAGTTTCTCATAAAAATACACTTATCATATGACCCAGCAATTCTTTTAGGGATTCAGAATAATAGCCCAATACTGTTAACAACTCAAATGTGCATTATCAGGTGGATGGGAAAACAGATTGTGTTATATCCAAGCAATGAAATATTACTCAAAAAAAGGAAGAAACTATTACAACATAAAACAAGGTGAATCACAAAACACTGTATTGAATGGAAGAATCCAGACATAAAGAATGTGTGTTGTATCATTTCTTTCATGTAACTTTCTTGATTAGGCAAAACTGACATAATCAGAAGTTGCCTGGAGATGAGGAGGAAATGACTGCAAAGGGAGCATGAGCGAACTTTTGGATATAAAGATAACAACCTGTATTTTAATTGCACCAATGTTTATATACATTTTTCAAAACTCATCAATCTGTATATTTAAAATGAGTACATGTTATTGTATGTAGATTATGTCCCAATAAAAGTGACTTTAAAACAGAGTAAAGAGGGAAGAATTATTCTACCAAATGGTAAAACATAATACAAAGAAAGGCACAGTAATTAAAACATGATACGCACACATACATTTCAACCCATATATGTATCAAACTCTAATATCATTTCCATCCATTTATTTTGTATTCACAGAAATTTATGATATCTGCTGTACTGCTGCAAATACTTAATTGTCTAGAATCATTATATCCTGCATTAAGCATTCATACTTTCAGGACTTACCTATCAAAATAACCTAATATTCAGGTTGTAATATTCCCACAGTCCTCCATCACCATATTACTGGTTCCATTGTGAACTGAGATCCTAAAGGATACTTGATGATCCACTGTCATATTAATCTTCAATAAGGCATTTATAAAATGTCCAAAGGTTAAGTACAGATTTGAAAAGATCTTCCATATTTAGTCTGGAACCCAAAACCTCATTCTAGACCCCCATTTTTCCCATCAGCAATAATATTTTGGAATACATATCTTCAAAACTCTTCAACCTATAAGATTTAGACAGTATATTCTTGTATATATTTCAAACTTGATTTCATTTACCACCATATTCTACCTGCTGCTCAGTCATATTTGAGATCCGTAACATTTATGACAAGGAGATTAACTAAAACAATAACTTTATTCATCAATGCCCCCTGTTACCAGACTTACTTCCTCAGTCCCACAGTCACAAACTTCGGGGCTCTCCACTCTGCCATTGCCACAGATTGCTGCTTGAGACGCTTGCAGTTGTGGTTTATTCTGAAGACACTTGGCACCCATATTTGAAATGAAATTTTTCAAGTCAGTCAAACTGCAAGTGCTGAAAGTCTTCACACCACTGGATTGCCTAAAGATGAGTTCATATAATGTTGTTGGCAGTATATTCTTGAAAGCACAACTCTATATTATATAAATTAATTTCAAAATGTTAAATTTAAGAAAAATGGTAAATGTTCATAACAAAAGCTCATAGGCTAGAATCATTCTTGAGGAGATCATGTGATTTATTCACTGGAATACATGCCCTTATTGAAACAAAATTAAGCAAAACTCAACAGCAAAAACAAACCACCAATTAGAAAATGGGTAAAGGTCTTGAACAGAAATTTTTTCAAAAGACAATATATAAATGGCCAACAGGTGTATGAAACAGTGCACAAAATCACTAAACATCAGGGAAATGCAATTAAAACCATAATGAGATATCACCTCACACTTGTGAGAATGGCTAATTTTTTTTTAAAGAGATAAATTCTGGCAAGGGTGTGAAGAAATCGAAACCCTGGTACATACACTATTGATGGAAATATAAATTGGTACTGCTGCTATGGAAGACATTAAAGAAGTTTTTCAAAAAATTAAAGACATAACAACCCATATAATCCATAAATCCCACTTCTGAGTATATAATCTGGGTAATACACACACACACACACACACACACACATACACACACACATAAATCCCCTACTATGGCTCTATTACTGTCAACCTCTCACTCTATGTCCATCAATTTTCTTTATGTATTTAAGTGCTCCTATGTTGGGTGCATATATGTTTAAAAGGGTTATATCCTCTTGTTGGACTGATCCCCTTATCATTATGTCTTTCTTTGTCTCATTATAGCCTTTTTTAAAACTATTTTGTGTCTCATACAGATATTGCTACACCAAATTCTAACACATTCTAACAGGTCTGAGGTGATATCTCACTGGGGTTTTAATTTGCAATCAGGATCTCAGTCTATCTGCACTCCCACATTCATTGCTGCCTTATTCACAAAAGGCAAATATATAGGAGCAAACTAAATATCTATTGACAGATGAATGGATAAAGAAACTGTGACATCTACATGGAATCGAATATTATTCAGTCTGGAAAAAAGGAAATCTGACATATGCAAAAACATGGATGAAGCTTGAGGACATTATGCTAAGTAAAATAAGCCAGAACAGAAGCATAACTACTGCATAATCTCACTTATATGAGGTTTCTAAAATAGTTAAACTCATAGATGCAGAGAGTAGAATGGTGATTGCCAAGGGTTAGGAGAAGGGAAGCATAAGGAATTATTCAATAGGTATAAAGTTTGTTATGCAAGATGAATAAATTCAAGAAGTCTTCTGTACAACATAGTGCCTATGATTAAAAATACTGTATTGTATATTTAAAAAATTTAAGAGGACTCCTTTTTAAATGAAAAAATAAGAATATATTGATTTTAGTTTTATATGCATTACAAACTAAATGTATATCTAAAATTTTTTTAGTTTTTGGGTGGGATTTATGAAAATTCTTCCACATGGAGAAAATTGGCTATATATGTATATGATACCTCTGCTGATGTGAAATAAAACTGAAATGATGGCGTGGAGAAAACTCTGTACCATTTTATGTAAATTCCCATACGAATATTAACAACTCTCCAAACTTTTCTTCTACTTCCTCCATATTTGCCCTTGATCATTACAAAATTAAGAATCAAGCTCTTTGAAAGTCTGAATTTATTCTAATGTTTTCCAATGTTTTTCAAATGTTTTTACTATATATATAATGACAGCTAATTCATTAAACATAACTTACTTGAGGAAATAATTTTTGTCTTCTGTATTGTTAACATCACATTACCTGTATAATTCTCAGAAAATTGTCTATTGATTATTTATAATAACAAATAGAAGCCTTAGTCCAGAACATTTTATAGAAATTGAGCCAGTATACAGGGAAGCTGAAATCCTCACCAAACTCAGACAGTTTATAAATTAGTAGGGTCAGTCACACACAGTTAAAGACTTTAAATTCAGGTGCTTTTTACCCAAAAATTCACCTTTGAACATTAAATAATTCAATAAAATATTTCCTATTAAATATTAATAGATATTTCACTCTAAAGCATATATTTTGATGATCTAATCACCAAAATTGAAAGGTGAAGAAAATTTATATTTAAAAACTAATATTTTTGCTCTGGGAAATAGTTATAGTCAACTATATATAATTTATAAAATTTTATATATAAATATAATCCCTAATTATTCACCATTTTTCTGCCCATAATGGCAGTTCTTAACATAAGAACATATATTTACAAAGTTCATTTGCACATTTCTTTGTGAGAAATATTTCACAAAGGTGGAAGAAGCATAAAATGGAATAAAAATAGCCTCTTCAACAAATGGCATTGAGAGATATGGACAGCTACATGCAAAAAATTAAAATTTTACCACCAACTTACACCATCAACAAAAATAAACTCAAGATGGATAAAAGACTTAAATATAAGTCGTAACACCATAAAAGTCCTAGAGGAGAACATAGGCAGGTAATTCTTAGATATCCCACCCAGCAATATTTTTACCAATATGTCCCCCAGAGCAAGGGATATAAAGGAAAAAATAAACAAGTGGGACCTCATCAAAATAAGAAGCTTCTGCATGGCTAAAGAAATCATCAGCAAAATGAAAAGGGAACCAACCATATGGGAAAATATATTAGCCAATGATACCTTGGATAAGGTTTTGATCTCCAAAATATATAAAGAAGTCACATGACTCCACTCCAGGAAGACAAACAATCCAATTAAAAAATGCGCAAAGGCCCTGAACAGACACTTCTCCAAGGAGGACATACGCATGGCCCTGAGACATATGAAAGAATACTCAGCATCAGTAGCCATCAGAGAAATGCAAATTAAAACCACAATGAGGCACCACTTCACACCAGTCAGAATGGCCACCATAAACAGATCGACAAACAACAGGTGCTGGTGAGGTTGTGGAGAAAAGGGAACTCTAGTACACTGTTGGTGGGAATGCAGACTGGTGCAGCCACTGTGGAAAACAGTGTGAAATTTCCTCAAAAAGCTAAAAATGAAACTGCCTTTTGACCCAGTGATTCCACTGCTGGAATTATACCCTAAGAATCTGAAAACATCAATTCAAGAGAACCTATGCACCCCAATGTTCACAGCAGCACAATTTGCAATAGCCAAGTGTTGGAAGCAAACTAAGTGCCCATCAGTAAAGCAGGAGATCAAAAAACTATGGTACAGTTTGACAATGGAATACTACACAGCAGAAATAAAGAGCTACTACCCTTCACAGCAGCATGGATGGAACTGGAGAGCATTATGATAAATGAAGTAAGCAATAGGGTCAAAGACAAATACCATATGATCTCACCTATAAGTGGAACCTAATCAACAAAACAAGCAAGCAAGGAAAATATAACCAGCAACATTGAAAGAAAAAAGAAACCAACAGTAACGAGAGGGAAGGAGGGAGGAGGGTAACAGGGGAAAGGAAGGGGAGGGTCAAATCAAGGAACATGTATAAAGGACCCATGGACGGAGCCAAAGTGGGGAAGGATTGAAGATGGGAGATGCAGGTGGGTGGGGCAGGGGAAGTGGTGGCAGGAAAACAAAGACAAATGTATTTGAACAGTAAAAATAAATAAATACATACATGCATAAAGGCTATAGTAAGAGACAAAGAAGGACATAAATGATAGACATCAATCCAACAAGAAGCCATAACCCTTGTAAACATTTATGCACCCAACATAGGAGCACCTAAATATATAAAGCAAATCTTGATAGGCACAAAGGGAGAGATCGTCAGTAATACAGTAATAGTAAGGGATTTTAACACCCCATTGCTGTCAATGGATACATCTTCCAGACAAAAAAGTCAACAAGGAAATAGCAGCCTTCAATGATACCCTTGACCAGATGGTTTTGTGATTCCATTTACTTGTATTTTCTTCAGTTTTTTCTTCCATATCTCATAATTTTCTGAGTACAAGTCTTTTACTTCCTTGTTTAAATTTATTCCTAATTATTTTATTTTTAATTCAATTGTTAATGGGATTGTTTTCTTAGTTTCCCTTTACAATAGTTCATTATTGTATAAAAATGCAACCAAAGAAGCAGACTATACTTTCGTTTCAAATGCACATGGAGTATTTTCTAGGATAGAGCACATGTTAGGACACAAAACAAGTCTCAATAAAATTAAGACTGAAATCATTTGAAGCATTCTTTTCCAACCACAAGAGTATGAAACTAAAAATCAATAACAACAAAAAAACTGAAAAACACAAATCCATGGAAGCTAAATATCACATTACTAAACAATGAATGGATTAACAATGAGACCAAAGAAGAAATAAAATATAGCTGAGACAAATGAAAATAACACAACAACACAAAATCTGTGAGACACAGCAACAGCAGTCCTAACAGGAAAATTCACTGCATTACAGGCACACCTCAAGAGGCAAGAAACATCTCAAATAAACAATCTAACTTTACATCAAATAAACTAGAGAGAGAACAACAAAAACCCCAAGATCAGTAGAAAGAAGAAAATAATAAAGATCAGAGCAGAAATAAATGAAATAGAGTCTAAAAACACAATGCAAAGGTTCAACGAAAATAAGAGCTTATTCTATGAAAAGATAAACAAAACTGATAAAACTTTAACTAGACTCATCAAGAATAAAGGAGACCTAGATTTTAAAAATCAAAACCAAAATAGAATAACTGACACCACAGAAATGCAAAGGATTATAAGACAATATTAAAAACTATATGCCAACAAATTGGACAATATCGAAGAACTGAAAAAATTCCTAGAAACATATAGTCTTCTAAGATTTATTCAAGAAGAAACAGAAAATCTGAACAAACCAATTACAACCAATAAAGCTGAAGCAGTAATCAAAAAAAAAAAATCTCAACAAACAAAATTCCTAAACTGGATGTCTTCAAAGGTGAATTTTACCAAACATTCAAAGAACTAACACCAATCCTTCTTGAGCTACTCAAAAAATTCAAGAGGAGGGAAGACTCTCAATCTTATTTTATGAGGCCAGCATTACCCTAATTCCAAAACCAGATAAAGTCATTACAAAAAAAGAAAAGAAAATTATAAGCCAATATTGCTGATGAACATCAATGCAAAAATCCTCAACAAAATATTAGCAAACTGACTTCAGCAATACAATAAAAAGATCACATACCACAATCAAGTGGGATTTATTCTTGGGGTGCAAGGTTGGTACAATATCCACAAATCAATTAATGTGACATGCCACATAAACAAAATAAAGGATAAAAATCATATGATAATATAAATAGGTGCAGAAAAAACATTCAACAAAATCCAGCACACATATTTGATTTTTTTAAAAACTCTCAGCAGAGTGGAAATAGAAAGAACATACCTCAGCATAATAAAGGCCATCTATCTCAATATACCAAACCTACACCCAACATCTTACTCAACAAGAAAAAGAAAACAAATTGTTTCCTTAAGATCAGGAACAAGACAGGGATGTGCATTTTCACCACTCTTATTCAACATAATACTGGAAGTTCTAGCTACAGCAATCAGACAAGAAAAAATAAAAGGCATCCAATTTGAAAGAAAGAAATAAAACCATCATTATTTACAGATGACATGATACTGTATTTGGAGAACCCTAAATATGCCACCGAAATATTGTACTACTAGAACTGATAAATGAATTCAGTAAAGTAGCAGAATACAAAATAAATATTCAGAATTTGGTTGCATTTTTATACCCCGATAATGAACTATCAGAAAGGGAAGCTTAAAAAAAAACTCATTTATAATTGCATTAAAAATAAAATACTTAGGAATAAATTTAAGCAAGGAAGTAAAAGACTTGTACCCAAAAAATTATGAAATACAAAAGAAAATATAAATAAATGGAAGCATATAACCACATTCATGAATATAATAAATTAACATCATTAAAATAGCCAAATTACCCAAAGCAATGTATAAATTCAATGCAATTCCTATAAAAATACAAACTGTATTTTTCACATAACTAAAACAAATAATCCAAAAATTTATATGAAACTTAAAAAGACATGGAATAGACTCAGCAATCTTGAGAAAGAAACACAAAGTTGGATATATCATGCTATCTGATAATTATATTACAAAGCCACAGTAATCAAAACAGCATGGTACTAACATAAAAACAAACATACAGATCAATGGAACAGAATAGAGAGCCCAGAAATAAACTGAAACCTAAAAGGTCAATTAATATTTGACAAAGTGGTACAGACAGTGTCTTCAATAAATGGAGTTGTGAAAACTGGACAGATATCTGCAAAAAAAATGAAATTAGGTCACCTTCTTACACTATATACAAGAATAAACTCAAATGGATCAAAGACTTCAATGTAAGACTCAAAACCATAAAACTTCTAGAATAAAGAGGCAGTAAAACCCTTGACATTTCTCTCAGCAATATATTTTTTTTCCTGATACTCACCTTGGGCAAGGAAAATAAAAGAAAAACAAGTAGAACTACATCAAACTAAAAAGTTTAGGGACATCAAAGGAAGCCATCAACACAATGAAAATACAATCTAGTGAATGGGTAAACATATTTGTTAATGATACATCTGATAAGAAGTTATTATCTAAAATTTTTAAAGAACTCATACTACTCAATACCTAAACAAAAAATAGTAATTCAATTACAATTGGACAGAGGACCTCAATAGAAACTTCCTCAAAGAGGACATACGGATGGTCAATAGGCATATGAAAAGATGCTTAACATCACTAATAGAGAAATGCACATTATAACCACAATGAGATTATTGCTTCACATCTGTCAGAATGGCTATCGTCAATAAATCAACAAACAACAAGTGCTGGCAAAGATGTGGTGAAGAGGGAGCCCTCGTGCACTTTTGGTGGGAATGCAGATTGATGCAGCCACTATGAAAAACATTATGGATGGTCCTCAAAAAATTAAAAATGGAATTGCCTTATGACCCAGTTATTTCACTTCTGGGTATATTTCCAAAGAAATCTAAAACTCTAACTTGAAAGAATATATGCACTGCTATGTTAATTGCAGAATTATTTACAATAGCCAAGATATGAAAGCAACCCAAGTACCCATCAATAGGAAAGTGGATAAAAAGTACACACACACACACACACACACACACACACAGTGGAATATTACTCAGTTGTAAAAAAGAATGAAATCTCACCATTTGCAAGAGCATGGATAGACCTAGAAGGTATTATGCTAATGACATAACTCAGTCAGAGAAAGAAAAATTTCATATGATTTCAATTAAAGAATATGTATAAAATTTTTTACATATGTAATCCATTTAGAACTTATCTGTGATATAAAATGTGTGTATATATAAATACATATGTTTTTATATGTATTTAAATGTGTGTATTTAAATGTGTGTATATATATGTATTTTATATGTATTTCATATGTATTTATATATGTATTTTATATGTATTTAAATGTGTGTATATATAAATACATGAGTTTAAGCTGTTTTTAGAATGCAAAAGTTAACCTTCAGGTGATGCTTAGAAGGAACTATGAAAAGAGCATGTTTTCAAAAATTAATGCCTTTTTTCATGTTTGACTTTTAATTGCTCTTCAATTATAAGTAGGTCCTCATAGCACAGCCCTTTAACAAATTTTTAAAAAACTATAGAATACTAATGACACCCACTCTAGTCCTTTACTGATGACTATTTGGGGAACATCGGCAAATTTAGAAATACTATAATAAATCCATCCATACTTATAGATTTTACAATTTAGAAAACACTTTCATATTTTATTTTCTTGTTTTGTTCTTGCATCACTCTGTGAAATAAGAGAATAGGCATAATCATTTCCATTTTAAAGATGAGAAAAATAACTCTAAACAAAGTGATTTGTCCAAAGTCACACAAATATCATATATTTCATATGAACCTCCAACTAAGACTCATTCTAAGTTTTTCACAACACTAAGTTACTCTAAAAGCAAAACCAAAAATTCTTTCTAAAAATAAAATCCACTTGTTTGGCTTGCTGACAGATTTTTAATGATCCTTATTAAGTGCTTTCATAAACACACAACCTACAGAGAATCCCTTTGCTAATTATCTTGCAGATTGTGTTTGTTATCTTTGATTGTTCTTACACTGAAATTTTCATGTTATATACTTGGTCCATTTTTAGCTAATTTGTGCTATAAGTTAAATCTATATTTGGCCTTCAAATATTTAAAACTAAATAAATATAATAAATAAATCTTATTAGTTAAAAACTTACGTAGCTTCTGGATTCATCATACAGATGGCTCCTGAACATTTACATTTCTTTGGGTCATCATATGATATTCCCAGACTGAGTCCCAGCATTTGGGTGACAACTACTGAAAATGCCTCCAAAGTTACCTCCTCTGAATACTACAGTAACAGCAAAGAAAATTCAAATGAAACAATTAACTGAAGGGTGTTAAAAATAATGTTTTTCTAGTTCTGACCATTTTTATTATTCTATCAAATACTTAAGAATAGGTAGATACAGCTCCTTGAACAGGTGCGAAGCTAAAGCTATTATGAAATTTTATTCAGACATAAGCATATTGATTCTATGCCCAGTTTTGCCATAATTTAACATTTGAATAACTAACATAGTAAGTAGCTACCATAATTATATAAAGGGTTGTTTTTACCTTAGATTTTACATTAGCAATTTGGATATATCAACCATGATCTTCAATTCACTTAATTTCTTAGAACAGCTCTCATATACACTTAAAATAGTCCACATGATATTCTGCTTCGCACCTCACAAAGTGCCCACAAAATACTGAATTTAAGTGAGCTCTCTGCTTCCTGCTAGTATTTCTCAATGAAACAAACAAACAAACAAACAAATAAATAGAGAGAAACCACATTCCTGGATTAGGCTTCTCATCTATATAACAAGTGTACAGATAACTACCTTGCCAAGGAGAATGGAGCATTTAGTATTGTCTGTCTGTTTTATGTTATCATTTCTGGTGGCTATAAGATAATATACATTTCATACATTTTTTGACAATTTGGCTGTTCTTTTTAGTGAAGTATTTATTCAAGTATCTTGTCCATTTTTCACTGCACTAGCCTTTTTATTGGTTTGTGGAAGCATTTTATGCATTCTGTATATGAGTCATTGTTAGCATTATTAGTCATGCATTGTGAGGACTTTTCCACAAGACTATTCTGTGACTTGTCTTTTTACTCTCTTAATGCCTTTTCATGAACAAAATTTCTTTAACTTGATGGGGTCCAATTCGGCCAATGTTTCCTTTACAATTAGTGTTTTTTGTATCCACCTTATGTTTCCCTATGCCCACAGTCGTAAAGCTCTGCTTCTTCTTTACCTTCCAGGGCTTTGTTGTTTAATTTTACCTATAGATCCACAGTTTACCCAGATTTTATCTGATGAATAGCATTAAAGGTATATTTATTTTAAAAAAATTCGCTATAATCAGATTTTTGGTGTTGATCACTTTGCAGTGTACACTGAAGTCAAACTATGTTGTACCTTTAAAACTTACATAATGTTTTACACCAATTTTAGCTCAATAAAAAAGATCACCCACTAGCAAATGCACTACAATCATCTTTGTAAAAAATTAAGTACATACCTATCATTTTGCTATTTTGAATCTATTCTATTCTATTGGTCTATTTGTCACCTTGTCATAATCATTGACACTTTATGATAAATACATCTTACTATAAACTACAGCATGGCCCTGTGCTATGTTATTCGTCGGGACTGCCTTAATAACTCTTTGCATTACCATAAAAATTGCAGAGTTAGCCTGTCAACTTTACACACATACATACAGACCTGCTAGGACTTTTACTAGGGACTGCATTTACCTTGTAAATCAACTGGGGAGATCAGCATCTTTATAACATTGTTGGCTAGTCCAAAATCTTAGGCACTGTCTCTCATAATGTTTTATTTTCTCTGAAGAAGTCTTATACATCTTTTTATTGTTTTTTATTCCTAAGTTTCTTGATTTTTATGCTACTTTTGAAGTTTCAATTTGTTTGTTGCAGTATATAGAAATACATTTCATTTTTTGTTGTTAAACAACTCTATTCACACTTCCAACCCATATATTATTACTTTTTTTTCCATCACCATTTATCCTCTCTCTACCCTCTCCCACCTCTATCCACTCCTCCCTACTGCAACCATTACACTGTTGTCCATGTCCATGAGTTCTTTCTCTTTCATTTCTTTTTTGCTCAATCCCTCCACCCACCTGCCCACCTCCTCAGAGCTATCGGCCTGCTCTCTATCTATGAGTCTGTCTCTATTTTCCTTGTTAGTTATGTTTTTTCATTAGATTCCACATATGTGTGAAATCATATGGTATTTGCCTTTCTCTGACTGGCTTATTTCACTTAGCATAATGTTCTTCAGGTCCATCCATACTCACACAAAGGGTAAGATTTTCTTCTTTTTTACAGCCAGGTAGTATTCCATTGTGTAAATGTCCCATGGTTATTCTACCCACTCATCTACTGACAGACATGAGCTGCTTCCAAATCTTGGTGACTATAAATAACACTGCAATGAACATAGGGGTGCATATATTCTCTTTTTTCTTTATTCCTTTTAAAAAAATTTTTTTTATTGTTGTTCAAGTACAGTTGTCTCCATTTAGAATATTCTTTTGAATTGGTGTTTCAAGGCTCTTCAAAAAAATTTCCAGAAATGGAATACTGGGTCATGAGGCAGTTCCATTTTTAATTTTTTGAGATAACTCCACACTGCTTTCCACTGTGGCTGCACCAATCTGCATTTCCACCAACAGTACACAACGTTCCCCCTTTCTCTACATTCTCACCAGCACTTCTTGTTGATTTATTAATGATAGCCATTCTGACAGGTGTGAGGCGATATCTCACTTTGGTTTCAATTTGAATTTCTCTGATGTTTAGTGACATTTGAGCGTCTTTTCATATACCTATTACCCATCTATATGTCCTCTTTGAAGAAGTATCTATTCAGTTCCTTTGCGCATTTTTTTAATTGGATGGTTTGGTTTTTTGATGCTGAGTGTTGTAAGTTCTTTATAAATTTTGGATATTAACGCCCTATTCAATGTATCAGTGAATACATTCTCCCATTTAATGGGTTGTCTTTTTATTTTTTTTTATGCTTTTATGTTGGATATGCCTATAAACAAGATTCAAAAGTCTTAGTGCTTTAATATACTTAAATAAATCCCAGTGTAGATGTTCCTGGTTGTGGATAGCCTTACATATGTTCATGCTTAAATAATTACATACTGGGCTTCTGTCCTTATTTATGTCTTTTCCATTAAGCTCCCCAGTGGGAAGGCTCACAAAACTTTTTAACTGTTCCTACCAAGAAGTGACAAACATTACTCCTATTCGTATTACATGGCTCTACCGAGATATAAGGAGGTCTGAGGAATGTGGTTCATGAAAGCACATGCTTTCCAGCCACAGATGTGGAATATGTTAGCAGAAAACAACATATGACACACTATTGTCATTTGTTTTCATTTAATCTTGTATCTATTTTAATCTCATCACACACACACTATAATTGATTCATGCAGGCCATGTTCAGACATTATTCTTCATTCTCTCTGATTCTCAGAGCTCCCAGTTAGAACACTCTCTTTTTTCCTGAAGTATATTATTTATAATTTCCTTTAGTGATATTGGACTGTTGGCAAAGCAGTGGAGGCAAAGAAACAAAAAAAAGGGTAAAATAAGGTAAAAACATCAATTCTAAAAATATCAGTAAGTGCAAGAATGTTCATGATTTAAACTGAAATAATTAAAATACACATATTTTTATATTGGATAGAGAAAATTGATCCAGCTCTATCCTGTTTACAAGAAATACTACTGAATTGCTAGGACTCAATGTAGAGAGAAAATTCAAAATATTAATAACTTAGAATAGGAAGATATTTTTCACACATATAAAAGCAACTTACTGGTTTTGGGGGACCTAGACTCCCTCCTTCCAGCTTCCTATTCCATCCTAACTAGGTAATGAACTTGTCTTCACATGGCAATTAAACAGCAAACTGGAGAAAGGCCACAATAGAATGGGCAACATCCCTTTAAAGAAGCTTCCTGAAAGTTCCAAATGTTATTTCTACTTACATCACAACAAATGAAACTTAGAAAAAACTAGCTATAAAAACAGCTAAGAAATGAAGGTTTCTATACAAACAGGCCTATCTGAAAACTGAGATTCTGGTTTTGGGGGGTTTTTTACAAAAAATAAAAAGATCAAATGGAGATTGGAACAAGTATGTATAGAGATGTTTATTAAATATTGTTTGTAATGACAAAAATAGAAACAACTAAATTCTCATGAAAATTATAAAATATACAGTGAGGCATATTTATATAATGAAATATCACACATGAGTGCAAAAATTAGACACAAAGCATTTTGAGTACAGTGAAATTGCTCTGAGTGATACTGTAATTATAGATGTATGTCTCTATATATTTGTCAAAACTCACAGAATGTACATCACCAAGAGTAAACATAACATAAACTACAGACTTTGGATGATCGCAATGTGTCAATGTGTTCATCATTTATGACAAAGGTACTGCTATTGTGTGGAATGTTAATTGTGAGGGAGGATATAGAAAAATCTCTGAACTTTCAATTTCGCTGTAAAACTAAAATTACTATTAAAAAATAAAGTCTTACACAATACTGAGGATATGACGGTATTGGGCTTCCCTATTATTACATGTCTTAAATGCTGATCTCCAGTCTGAAATTTTCCTTTCCTTGGATTCCTAGACTTTTATCTGTACCAACAATATAATCAGTATACTTTCTGCCTCCTATTACAAAAATGTGCATGCCACTTATCCATGCCACTGAACCCTTGTAGGTGTAGGGGAATGGTAAGAATGATAATGATGATGATAAGAGCTAACATTTATTATGCTCCTACTATGTGCTTTACTGGGTTTCATTGATTTATATTTACTCAATCACATTGCACATTCATCCCTGTATGTTAATTATGCCTAAAAGCACTTGGAATAAAATTATCTGTGGAATCAAAATAAATAAAGTCTTTTAAAAATTAACTAGATTCCACATGCCAGATGAATAAATTTCAAAATTGTAAGTGGAAACCAAAAATTCAAATGGCACATTGTGATATAATTTACATTATGCTCAAAACATTAAAACAATTCTTGTTTAGAGAAATATTCAATTGTGGTAAAAGCATAAGAGCTTTTAAACAAAGAAAGTTTTTGTAAAAATATAAGTATAAAAGCTCTGTGAAAGACTAATTCCTTGAATCCATCTCCTCCAATCATTCTAGCCTACACCCTGCCTCAGCCACTCATTCCAATAGTTCACACCGTAAGTCTTGTCAACAGATCTTTATCAATACCTGTGACTCCACCATCATCTCTATAAAGTTCATACTACATCCTGACCACCTAATTTCTTTCCTAATCAGTCCTCTAGCACTTCAACTCCAACAATCGTGTACCTACCAGCACATCCAAATCATGGTTCGTTCTTAAATCTTCACTGATCCAAACTTCCATACTGACTTCTCTTCTTCCTTAACCAGTTCAAATACTCTTAAAAGCACCCTAAAGTTACCTTGTCATCCTTTCACTTCAAAATTACTTGACAAAAACACAATATATCAATCTTCAAAATGCTAAGATAGAAAGATGTGAGAACTAGTATTTTATACCTAGCCAAATTTTTAAATCAATCGAATATGGTGGGAATGCAAAAATATCTTCATTAATAAAATAACTATATGTTTGCCATTTATATACACTACTTTAAAAAAACTCCAAAGTTATTCCATAAAAATATCAAAGAATTCCAAGAAGAGGAAAAGGGGCTTTAATTTCCTTTGGCAGTTGGTTTTGCCCATAAAAGTTAGAAAAACATTAAGAACTTCTGTTAAACCCTATGCCTACAAGATTCTCTTCTCAAAGCTTTACTAGCACAGTGACATATTTCTTTATTCAATAGTTAATATTATTTATATGTTCAAAAATACTGTAAAATTCTATCTACTAGTTTAATTATTAAATCAATCTGCAAAATACAAAAGTTCTATAAAATAAATTATAAGTTTTATAAACCTAGACAATGTATATGAGAATTATATAGCTATTTCACATCTTTTGTTTTTCATAGCACATAAGGGATTGTATGAACTTCCTTATATGTTCCCATATGTACATTAAAAAATGGACATGAATAAAAATTATTTTCTAATTTAAAAATATGTAGTACTCACAAGCAAACAAATGAGAAAAAAATAACCAGAGACATGGAAATAACACACTGACAGGGACCAAAGGGGAGGGAGGAGGAGGATAACGGGGAAAGAATGGGAGCAAGTACAAAGGGCCCATGGACAAGGACAATGAGGAGGGGATCGTCTTTGGGAGCAGGGCATGGACGGGGCAGGGGAGAACAATGTGGGGGGAAATGGGGACAACTGTAACTGAACAACAATAATAAATAAATAAAGTACTTAAGCTTGTTTTTAAAAGAATGAATTGGGTGGGTAAGTGGCTCAAATTACTTCACTTTTCAATGATGCATCTAATTGTACCAATAGTTTCTTTATACATAAAATATTTAGGTAGTACTGTAAATATTTAAAATACACATAAAAGTTTCTTCTTAATGCTGTTTGAAGTATTTTTAAAAACATTTATTATACTTTTGATCATTTGTTTTGATTTTGAAGCTATCTTATCTGTTAGACTATTTCTCCAATTTTATGTCTACAACCAAAAATCTATTTGGGTAACAGATATTTCTTCGCAGATAATTTTTCATGATATTCTATTCTATATTTTAAAGAATGCATGTGTATTTATGCTTTTACTTCACTTTAACTTCCAAGTAATTGCAACAAGGCACTTATTTTGCAAGACTCTTCCTTCTCTACACTTCAATTTTTAACAGTAACTGAAAATAAATGCAAATGTAAACTATAAAATGTTGAATAATTTTTCAATATATAATTTTTAAATAATTACATACCAAAACAATCCCTGCAGAATAATTAGTAATACACATCTTTCCAGGAAACGTTGCTCCCACATAATCTGGGTAATCTCTATAGCTAAAAAAATAAGTATACATTTATAATTCATTTTGTTGAACAATTCAAATGTGAGAATTCCTGCTAATAATCTGTCTGTACTTCATAAAAGCCAGGTCTGAAGCAAACGGAGGTATAAAATTTCCATATTTTCTTAACTGTTTCTAAGTAGGAAAGTATTCTTAATTAAATGAAATCAAGCATTCTGAATTTCTAAGAGATATTCAATAAATCCAAGTTTTTGTTCTTTTCCTTTACTGTTCTCATCACATTGGTTAAGGCTACTAAAGCCTTTGAGCAAACATTTTGATAAGCATTTTTCTGAGTAACAATAAAAAATAGTTTTAATGTATGGATTGAAACTATTTACTCTCATGAAGAAAAGCTCAGCAGTTTCTCATGAAAATGACTTTCTTGTTCTACAACTTAATATTATTATCTCTCCTTTGAGTAAGATCCCATATAAATTGTATAGTAACAGCATTATTTTCAGAGGTCTACATAAATTATTCCATTTAATACTCAAATAAGCCAGTAAAATATATATCATTATTACCTCCATTGGAAAAAGCCAAACACCAGATGGTAAGTTTGGTAAATAACATTCTCAAGATAGCACAAATGATAGGTTCTACTAAACGGATTTAAACTTGAACAATCTGAATTCAGAGCTGTACTCTCAAACACAAAGGTATAGACACTTCAGACATAAATTATGTCATCTTTAGAGCTCTCACCAAAACAAACATTCCAGGATGTATATAAAAGAGCTTGTCGCTCAATTCTCAATTTGAAACGCCCCTTTGGTGTCGACTGCACTTTACTTCACAATTGCGCGGTGTACCCTCTGCAGCCTTATTCTGTCTCTCTGATGTTGTGTATACCTAACCCTTCCCAGCACTTTTCTTTTTCCTATTTTAAAATTATATACACGTCTTTGACAGGATAAAAGGTACAATGATTTATCTTTATGAACTCTATAAAGATGGAGACTGTGTAGCACAGCGGACAAAGCAGCACCCTCCCAGCTAATCGTGTCATGGTCTGGCTTTTCCGTCCTCTGGAAGCCAAACATTGATTTCACTAGTTTTTTTATTGTTTTCAAGTATTTGCTCCTAACACCCAACTTTGGCTTTACATATCAATGTCTAAGTATTGTTTACATTCTTTCTTCATCCAATATAATCATCCCAATAGATAAGACTTCCCCAAAATTCTATGCATACCCTTGATGAGCTGGACTCAATAATAGTTATTTTTTATTTACTACTGCCCACCACCCAATCTCCACATCAGGCCACTTGTCAAGATCTAATGTTTTACTTCTTCAATGTTTCTTATATCCTTACCCTCGCCTTCAAATGTTCAGCTACAGTTCCAACTATGAGAATACATGTTAAGTCAATACTTTTGAAAATAACTAAAAATTATTTAGTCTCATTGATTCCATAACCTGGAACACTTTCAATCTCCTTTATCTAATTTAAGTGTTCCTAACTCTGACTTCCCCCTTCTAATTTAATTACCACTTCTTTAATTGGACTTTTTTTATACACTATTTTCAGTCAATCCAACCGCCCATTCCTTTTCTTTCTCCTGTAAACTACAAGCAAGTAGGGATAATGTGCTAGCATTAATCTTGTGCAGTGACATAAACAAGATGGTGAAATAGGAGTTTTTGGCCCCATCTCCCCACAGAAACAATGATTGTGACAACCATCCACAGACGAGAATAACTTTGTGAAGAGTGCAAGAGTCCGGAGGAGAAGTCACAGTGCCCCACTGGAGGAAAAAAATCCAAGGATAGATGCACCGAATAAAGTAAGCATAGCTTTAATTTACCCATGTCACCATTTCCTAAAAGCAGCACAGCTCAATGCTAAGAGAGATGTCCTCAGCCACAATTTCTCCCACAGAGGAAAGCAAGAGTATAGTGAGTGCCCCCAGCCATACAGGATGCTGCCTACTTCTTAGTGTCCATTGACAGATGACTGGATAATGAAAATGTGATGTAAGGTAGGTCCAAGATGGTGACATAGAAGATCACTGAGTTCTCCCTCTCCCAGAACACATCAAACGTATACCACTATTTAGAGAAATTCCTCCTGAGAGAAAACTAAGAGTCAAATGAATAGCTTCTACACAACAAATGGGAGAGAGAGTGAGACCACATAAAGAAGGCTGGGGAACCAAATGAGCACTCTGGGAGTTAGTACACACTCCAGGATTGAAGAAACCAGTGAGTTCCATTGTTCATCTTTCCCCTGAACTTGGATAATGGGGAGGAGCTCTGTCAAGGTGCTCTGGCCTACCTGCAGAGCCACAGTAGCATATATCCAACCACCCCTCAAACAGCTAGCTCCAAAATAAATAAGCAGGAGCCGTAACATGCACACACAGGGTCCCTCCACCCAGAAATTGATCCAGCAGGAATATTAGGGTGCTGCTGTGCACATCCACTGGATTGTAAATGCATGTAGGGCTTTCATGCTTAGCAAAAGTGTGAAGCTTGCAAGGCTTGGCAGTGCTTGTACACAAGGTTCCCCTATCCAGAGAAAGTGCAGAGCTAGTAGGACACTGTGGCCCAAACACACAGAGCAGTTCCACCCAGATGCTGCTTGGACAACAGACAATAAAAGCAGCAGGGTGTGCCATGTGCATACAGTGCAACCCCATCTGGATTAGAAGGGCAAGGAAGCATTCACACATCAGGCTGCCCCACCCAGAACAACAGGGAGGTACTGCATACATGTGTACACCAGGCAGCCCCCGCATAACCCACTCCTTCTGGCCAGGCAGCACACCAGGCACCAAACGCAGCTTTTCCAATTCCAACCAGTCTGCCAAAAGCAGCCAGCACACAGTCTATACAGGCCACTTTGACACAAGGCCACTTTCTTGAGACTGGAAGAGATAGCTATTTGATCTAACTCAAAGGAGCAAACACATAAAAGTCAAACAAAATGGAGAGACAGAAGGGCACACCCTAACTGAAGAAATAAGGAAAAAACCCAAGGGTAAAACAAAGATAAGTAGTTTGCCAGATTTAGAAAAATCAAAGAAATAGTCAAAAGAATGCTCAACAAACTTAAGAGTAGAACAGAAACAAATCAGAAAAAAAACATCAACAGAGTTAGAAAATATAGTAACCAATCAAGGGTGAAGAATATAACAATAAAAAACAATGAAAGAGAATATAATAATGGAAATGAAAAGTACTTTATAAGGAATTGACAGCAGAGTAGTTAATACAAAAGAACAGAATAACAACCTGAAAGACAGAATAATGGAAATCACCCAATCAGAAAAGCAAAATGAAAAAAAAAAAAACACCTTAAATTAAGATATTATAAAGGACCCCTGGACAACATCAAGCAGTCTGACACTCACATTATAGAGATTTCAGAAGGAGAAGAGGCAGGGAAAGTACCAGGAAGTATATATATTTTAAGAAGTGATGGGTGAAAACTTTCATAACCTGGGGAAGGAAACACACATCCAGGTCCAGTAAGCAGAAAGAGTTCCAAAAAGATGAACCCAAAAAGGCCCACACCAAGACACATTGTAATTAAAATGTCAAAAGTTAAGGAAAAAGAGAATATTGAAGGCAGCAAGAAGGAAACAAGTCACATACAACAGCAACCCCATAAAGCTGTCAGCTAATTTCTCAGCAGCTACTCTACAGGCCAGAAAAAAGTGGCAGGAAATATTTAAAGTACTGAAATAAAGGAACTTACAACTAAAATACCCAGCAAGATTATCATTCATATTTGAAGTAGAGATAAAGCGTTTCTCAGGCAAGCAAAAAAAAAATTTTTTTTACCACCACTAAACTAGATTTACAAGAAATATTAAAGGATCTCTTTATGCAGAGAAGAAAAGGTCATAGCCAAACATAAAAAAATACAGAAAAGAAAAAATCTTATGAGTAAAAACAAATATATAATAAGCATAGTGAATTAACTACTTAAAGAACAAATATGAAGGTTAAAAGACAAAGTATCAAAATTCATTATACCTACAATAAATAGTCAGGGAATATACAAAAAAATGATATAAAATATGTCAAAAATAAAGCATGGAGGGTGGAGTAAAAATTTAGTGCTTTTAGGAAGTATTTGAACTTAAATGCCTATCAACCGAAAATAGACTGCTATAAATATAGATGGAAATATATGAACCTCATGGTGACCAGGAACTGAACTCCTACAAAAAAAAAAACAGAAAGAGAAAGAAACCCAAACAATACTAAAGAAAACCAATAAACCAAAGGAAAGAGGTTAAAAGAACAAAAGAACGGAGAAAAACTACAAAAACAATTAACAAAATGGCAATTAGCACATACCTACCAATAATTACTTTAAATATCAAATGGAATAAATATTCCAATAAAAAGAAATAGGGTGATTGAACTGATAAAATAAAAAAGACCCACCTATAGGCTCCCTAGAAAAGAGTCACTTTAAATAGAAAGATACATGCATACTGAAAGCAAACAAATGTAAAGAGGTATTCCATACAAATAGAAATGAAAAGAAAGCTAGGCTACCCATACTCAAATCAGACAAAATACACTTTAAAACAAACAATGTAAAAAGAGACAAAGAAGAGTACTACATAGTGATAAGGAGTCAATCAAAAACAGACTACAATAATTGTAAAAGAATACAATACAATAAATAATATCTATGCACCCGTGTAGGAGCCCCAAAGTATATAAAACATATATTAATGATATAAAGGGAGAAATTAATAGTAATACAATAATAGTAGAGGGCTTTAATACCACATTTACCTCAATGGATAGATCATCTAGACAAAAAAAAATTAATAAGGAAATAATGACCTTAAATGTCACATTAGACCAAACTGATTTAATAGACATTTGTAGACCATTTCACCCAAACTGCAGAATACACATTTTTCTCAAGTGCATATGGGAAATTGTCCAAGATAAACCATATATTAGGCCACAAAACAAGCCTCAATACACTCAAGAAGATTAAAATTATATCAAGCATTTTTTTAACACGACACAAAATTAGAAATCCACTATGCTAAAAAAACTAGAAAAAAACACAAATACATGAAGAATAAGCAACATCCTACTAAACAACCAATGAGACAAAGAAGAAATCAAACAGAAAATCAAAAACTACCTTGAGACAAATGGAAATGAGAACACAACTTTCCAAAAATGTACGGAATGCAGCAAAAGCACTTTTAAGAAGAAAGTTCATAGCTACACAGGCCTATCTCAAATAAACAAGAAAAATCCCAAATGAACAATCTAACTTTGTAACTAAAGTAACTAGAAAAAGAAGAACATACAAAAACGAAAATGAGTAGAATGAAAGAAATAATAAAAATCAGAGTGGAAATAAATGAAATAGAGACTAAAAATAGGAAAAAAATAAACAAAACTAAGAGCTGGTTCTCTAAAGGGATAAATAAAATTTACAGACTTCTAGGCAGGCTTATCAAAAAGACAGAGAGAGCCCCAATACATAAAATCAGAAATAAAAAAGGAGATATTTCAACCGACACCACAAAAATATAAAGGATCATTAAAGAACACTATGAACAATTATATACCAACATATTGGACAACCTAGAATACACAGGATAAATTTCTAGAAACATATAACCTTCAACAACTGATCCAAAAAGAAACAGAAAATCTGAACAGGTGAATTACTAGCAATTAAATTGAAGCAATAATCAAAAAACCCAAAGAACAAAGCCCAGGTCAGAAGGCATCACAAGTGCGCTCTACCAAACATTTAAGGAGGAATTAATAACAACGATTCTCAAACTATTTGAAAAAAAAGAAAAGGAGGGAACACTTCCAAACTTATTTCATGAGGTCTGAGTTACCCTGATATAAAAACTAGATAAGGACACTATGAAAAAACATTATAGGATGGTATCACTGACTGTCATAATTGCAAAACTCCTCAACAAAACATAAGCCAACTGAATTAAATAATACATCAAAAGGGTCACACTCCAGGATCAAGTGGGATTATTCCAGGGATACACGGGTGGTTCAACATCTGAAAACAACAAAGTGATAATCCATATTACCAAAATTAAGGATAAATATCATATAATCATCTCAATCTATACGGTAAAAGCATTAGAGAAAATTCAACAGTATGATAACTCTCAAGTGTGTAGAGAGGGAACATACCTCAACACAATATAAGCCATATATGACAGGTCAATAGCTGATATCATACTTAAAAGTAAAAAAGTGAAAGCTTTTCCTTTGAGATCAGGAACAAGACTAGCATTCCCACTCTTGCCAATGTTATTCAACATAGTGTTAGAAGTCCTAGCCAGAGCAATTAGGCAAGAAAAAGACATAAATAGCATATATTTATTTGAATTAACCCCTTTATCATTATCATATAATGACCTCCTTTGTCACTTATTACAGTCTGTCTTAAAGTCAATTTTGTCTAAGAATAGTTACCCTAGATTTCTTCGGGTTTCCATTTTCATGAAAAGAATATCTTATTCTATCCCTTCACACTCAGTTGGTGTGCATCCTTACTTCTGAAGTTAGTCTCTTGTACGTAGTATATAGCTAGGTCTTGATTTTCATCCATTTAGCTACTCTGTCTTGATTAGAGATTTTGTTCCATTTACATTTAAAGTAATCACTGATAGCTATGTACTTATTTCCATTTTATTCATTTTTTTTCTGGCTGCTTTGTAATTCCTCTATTCATTTCTTCTCTTTCATGCTCTTCCTTTGAGATTTGATGATTTTTTTGTAATGGTATGCTTAGATTTCTTTTATCTTATCCTTTGTGTATATACTATAGGTTTTGTCTTTGTGGTTGCCATGAGGCTTACATAAAACAACTTAGATTTGTGAGTCTATTTGAAGATGAAAACTAATTAAGTTTGATCATATTATGAAACTCTATGTTTTTACTCCCTCCATCTTCACACTTTATGTTTTTGGCATTACAATTAATTTCTTTTTACCTTGTGTATCCCTTAACAAATTATTGTAGCTATAATTATTTTTACTACTTTGGGCTTTTAACCTTTATCAGTAGCTTTGTAAGTAATTAAACCCTCCCCCCATCTTTACAACATCAGATTAGTCTGGAGATTAGAGAGAGAGAAAGAGAGAGATCAGTGAAATTTCTACTTTCAAATGTTTTCCTATTATTAATTAGCACTGTTTCATTTCAGCTAATGCTTGAACATTCTTGTAAGGCCAGTCAACTAGTGATGATCTCCTTTAGCTTTTGCTGTCTCAAAAACTCTTTTTTCCTAACCTCCTACCACCTTCCCTTTGGAATAATGAAAAATGAATTAAAATTCCCTAAATAAAGCTACATAATTATTTCAGATTTTGTTTTCCAAGAATACTGAAACATTACTCTTACATGAATAGATATGCAACATCATGAGGCCTTAGGGTAAGATGAGATTTTTTCCATTCTAAAAATCTATGCAATAATTCATCTTCCTCACCAACTGTAGAAATCTTATTTTTATCTGACCACAACTCCAATGATGACAGCACAATAGTAACTTTAAGTTGGGCAAATGCCTAAAAGCAAAAGAGGTAATACATGAAAAAATAATCTTTGTGTTAATTTACATGACCAAGAAATTAATTCAATTTATTTGACAAATGTATGCTCAGTTTGTGTGTATGACTTGATTATTCAGAAATGCACGAATAGAGAACCCATGAGCACAGACAATGGGGGCAGGACTGAATGTGGGAGTGAGGGAGGGATGATGCAGCGGAGAGCAATGGGGAAAAAGGTGGGACAACTGTCACTGAACAATAAAAAAAGAATTTTAATAGTAAATACAAGGATAAATAATAAATGTTGTATTTCTCTAAAAGAAGAAATGCCGCATCAAAATGAAAGAAATTAAAATTTCAAAACTCATATGAATTTTTCTAACTAGTATGAAAATACTTACCGAATTTACAAGGCCAATAATTTCGATGACTTTATTTGTCACTATCATGCTATCAGAGCCCAAGTAATCATACTGAAAAACAGAATTAATTTTTAAATTTAAATACAAATTTTTTATGTAATACATCTGAGGTTTACTCTCTATCTACTCAGAGGTTTGAGGATGCTTCGGGGTTAAAACAGTTAAAAATAAGCTAGTAACCAATTTTTTTAAATGGTTATAAATTTGATCACTCATACATGCTGATGGGAATGCAAAATCACACAGCCACTCTGGAAAGTATTTTGGAACACAAATAATGAACTTACCCCATGACCCAGCAATTGTTCTTCTGGGCATTTATCCCAAAGAACTAAAACTGATATTCACCCAAATAACCTACACATAAATATTTATAACAGTTTTATTCATAAAAGCCAAAAACTAGAAACAACTCATATATCTTTCAATGGTTAACTGATTAAACACACTGTGGCACATTCATACCATGAAATACTACTTAATAATAAAAAAGAAACTGAAATTTTGATATATGGAGCACTTCGGATAAACCTCAAGAAAATTATGCTGAATATAAAAAAAATCTCAAAAGGATCCCTACTGGATGACAACATTTATTCAATATTGCTGGAATCATAGATAACAGATTAGTGATTGTCAGGGGTTAGTAAGTGGAGGGGGTGGGGAGAGGTGGGTGTTATTATAAGAAAAACATAAGAGAGTCTTGTGGTTATGGTACTATTGAGTATCTCGACTGCGGTAGTAGTGATACAGGGCTATGTTTGTGATACTGCTGCATAAAACTACACATACACAAGTAAGTGTATATGTAATTGTTGAAATCTGAATAGGTTCTATGGAAGTGCCAATGTCATATCCCATATCTATAAATCATATCTCTGAATGTGAAATCACATTCTCAGAAGTACACTACCCCTTTGATGTTCCACATAATCCTCAAACATACCCAAACTAAGTTCATCATCCTTCTTCAAAATTCTGCTCCTACTTACATTTGCAGTAATACAGTGAATGGTATTATCATTTATGATCTCCCACATTTATTATACCACATATTCCATAAGAGCATAACTCTTTTTGTTGTGTTCACTGCTATATACCCAATAAATAGAACAGTAACTGGCATCTAGATCATACTGAAAAAATTTATTAAGTGAATGACCAAATCTAATCAATTTACTAGCCCTTCTAACTTCATCAGCAACTTTTTAAATTGTCCTTTTCTTTCTAGTCCTAATATTACTAATTTGTGAATTTTCACCTTGATTTTTGAAATAATATCTTAAATGGTCCCTCCTTCTCTAATTTTCTCACCAGAAATTCGGTTACTACACTATTTTTTTTTCCAAAAAAAGATGGTGTTTCTAAAATGAAAGCATGAACATGTCACTCCCCTGTTGAAAATCTTCTAATGACTCTCCATTAACTTTAGGATAAAATCTACATATGTCAATTCTTCAATTCATCTCTTTCCATTTCCCTTCTTCAATGCTTTGTGTTAATTATGCTAAACTTCTTCTAGTCTCCTGAAAAGAACCTCCTCTCATATATTTACGTGCTCTTGCACGAAGTCTTTCCTGGCCCCATCCTTATTTATCCTTATTTTCTGAAATCTTTGAAATATAGAGGAAACAAAACAACAGCTGATGGAGTGCAAGTGAAGTCATCACCCCATGGTCCTGAAGTTCAGAGGTCCTCAAATTGTGTATGGGAATCAAGGATCTAAATAGAGGTGCATTTAGACCAGCTAAACAATAGGATGCAACAGGCATTCCAATAAAAACTGCTAAAAAATTGACATATTAATGTAAGCAGTTCCCATAAATAACTACAGTATCATCACTTTTGTGCCAATGATTATTTTATAGGGCAAAACATTCTCTAGATTTCAAACTGCTTTGCAAGTGCAAACAAAAATGAAAAAGCTTAAAGAACATCACATAAAACAAACATCACCATTAATTGAAAAGAAAAAAATCAAATAAACTCATGAACCAAAGGGGAAGAGCTGAGGGAGGGAAGGAGGGAGGGGACAAGGGAAAGAGGTGGGAGGAAGGCAGAGACAAATGTATTTAAAAAGTAAATAAATTAATTAAAAAAAAAAATATTGTGGATTGAGAGAGGCCCCAAAGATGTGAAGTACTGTGTAAAGATTTCAAATAAAACACTTCTGACAGAAATAGTATAATTTTGAATATGTGTTTTGTCAGTTTGCATATGTTTCCACTGTTCAGTCTATGATATACAAGTAAGAAAATTGGAATCGTTAAGTTCTTATCTAGCTAGGGATAATCATATATTAATACTAAATATGTAAAAGTAAAGAAAAATACATACCAAAACTTTGTCCACCACAATAAGCATTTCTAGATAAAGAGGAATTAAGTCTGGAACAGCTGATTCTGACTAGAAAAAAAGAAAAAATATTTAAAAACACAAAAGCTTTCACAAATTGTTTATTCTGAACTTTTAAAATCTTTTTTCCATCTTTATTGAGGTATGGTTGACAAATATACCTTATACATATTTATATAAATATATATTTAAATATACCTTAATATATATTTATATATTTAATATGTATTTATATTTATATAACTGAAATATATTAAATATATTACATTTATATATAAATATATATACTTTATATATACTTATATATATAAGGTATAAGACTTGGTTTGTATAAATTGTGAAATAATTGGCAAAATAAAGCTAATCGCCATATCTACCTCACATAGTTACCACTTTCTTTTTGTGTATGTATGAGGTGAGAACACGTAAGATCAACCCTCTTAGCAAATATCAAGCTTACAATACAGTATTGTTAGCTATAGTCACAATACTGTATGTTAAATCTCCAGAAATTATTCTTTCTGCATAACTGAAACTCTGTACCATTTGACCAACATTTCCTCAATTTTCCTTGTCCCCACCTCCTGGCAAATAACATTCTACTCTCTGCATCTATGAGTTTGACTGTTTTAGATTCCACACATGACATCATGTAGTATTTATCTTTCCATTCTTGGCTTACTTCATTTAGCATAATGTTTTCAACATTCATTCATGTTGTCACAAAAGACAGGATTTCCTTCCTTTTTAAGGCTGAATAATATCCCCGTGTGCATGTGTGTGTCTGTGTATGTGTGTGGCATGCATTCTTTATCCTTCATCCATAAATGGGTATTTATTTCCATATCCTGGCTACTGTGAATGAAGTTGGCAATGAACATGGGAGGGCAGGTATCTCTTCAAGATACTAATTTGTTTCCTAAGATATACACCCAGAAGTAAAATTGGTGAATCATTTGATAGATCTATTTTTTATCTTCTGAGGAGCCTCCATACTGTTTTCCATAGTACAAGTACCAATTTACATTCCCACCAACAGAAGGGTTCCTTTTCTCCCCATTCACAACATTTGTTATTTCTTGTCTTTTTTTATAATAGCCATTCTAACAGCTGAGAGGTGATATCTCATTGTGGTTTTGATTTACATTTCTCTGATGATTAGTGATTCTGAGCTGTTAGGTGGTAATGGATGGTAACTAGACTTATTGTCGTGATCATTTCATAATATATGCATATGTCAAGTCACTGTTGTATGCTTTAAACAAACACACTATTATGGGCCAATTATATGTCAGTACAACTGAAATAAAATAATTTTTAAATATAAATACACTTTAAGAGGCCCAGATTCTTGATGTTGAAAGCAAAACCACAAAGACAGAGTGCCCCATACTCCTTTCCTATATCCGCAAGAACACCGTGAAAAAAAGGTCCAAGGGAATCTGGGCAGGGCACTAACCCTGCCCAACATAGTCTGGGTAATCTAAGCCATTGTAAATTACCCTCCTAAATTCTCAGAAGCAAAAAAGAAATTTTAGTATTTAGCTAACAAAATTTCATTTTAAATTATACACATATACATGATGATGTTGAATACTGTGGTGCTGCACCTTTTTTTCATCATACATTTGATTCCTCTATTATTTTGGACATGGGATTAGAAGCTATAACAGAGACACAAAAATAAGAGTGGGTTAAACAATATTGGGATTTTTTTTCTTTCTCTGAAAATGGTGGTTTAGTCTTGTAAATTCTTCAGGAGCACAGCTCATTCTGCCTCATTGCTCTGCCACATATGGTATCATCATTATCCTTGTGAACTAGCACGTATCAACATATCCACAGTGCAGTTAGCAAGGAAGCGAAATCAAAAAGAGTATAAACCCCTTTCCTTTATAATTCAATCCCGACACAATATATTTTACACCTGCTTACATGGCGTTAGCTATAACTTTATCACATGGCCCTACTTAAATGCAAGGGAAGTTGAGAAATGTAGTCTTTTCTTACATTCCCAGCTAAACTCTTAGGGATTTTGTTATTTAAAAATGACAGAAAGTGAGGAGAATGTATACTATAAACAACTAACAATGCCATATACCTCTTAAGTAAACTATGCTTACTTATGCAACTCTTACTTGGCACAAAATTTTTATCTCACTCAATTACTTTTATGAGGACAAAGACATGCAGTTATACAGGATATACACTGAACAATTTACAGGGTCACATGTGACAATCCTGCTTATGACATTTTAATTATATCTATAATTTAATTAATGCTGATTCCTTGGTTATGAATACAACTTTTATAAATATTGGCTTTAATGAATAACTTTCAGGAATATAGAGACAAAAACAGGAACTGAATTTTTAAAGTTTATATCAAATATATACTAGCTAATTTTTAGCAAGTAATAAATAACATTAAAAAATCAATCCATAAAAAAAAGAAGGAACTCCTACCTTTTGCAACAACATAGAAAGAACTGGAGAACACTATGCTAAATGAAATGAGCCAGTCGGTGAAAGACAAATACCACATGATCTCACCTATAAGTGGAATCTATTCAACTAAATAAACTAACGAACAAAAAAAACCACAGGCATGGAAACATGGAGCAGACTGAAAGTGGCCAGAGAGGATGGGGAAGGAGGACAATGGTGGAAAGGAGGAGAAGGGGTAGACAAGGAACATGTATAAGTGACCCATGGACATGGGCAACAGAGTGGGAATTGACTTGTGGGAGCGGGGGGTGGGGTGGGAGGGGTTGAAGAGGGCAAAGGGGGGAAAATTGAGACAACTGTAGTAGAATAAACATGATTTAAAAATTAAAAAAAATAAGAATTAAAAGTTGTTGCAAAAAGAAGGTATTGTATGGGTCAAAGGAAACTAAGTTTAAAAAAAGGTGAGGATGTTCTTAAGGGTATTGAGCAAAAAAAAAAAGAAAGAAAGGACTCACAGGCACAGACAAGAGGTGATTTTGAAGGGGGGGGGGGTACGGAGCGGTGGAGGAGGGCGCAGGGAGGACGAACTGTGATGGACAGAGACTTGACTTGGGGCGGTGAACACGCAATACCATGCGCAAATGATGTGTTACAGAACTGTGCACCTGAAACCTGTATCATTCTGTGAACCAGTGTTGCCCCAATAAATACAATAAAAAGGGGAAAAAAGAAAATATTCACTACAGCTATACGATAGGTTAATAAACTTTTTTAAAATAAATAAAAGCAGAGATTGTCTTGAAAGTAGTAATAAAGCATATGGAACTAACTTTTTCATTTACGAAAATGTTATAGTCCATTGGGTTTTGTCCTATGTCACGGTTATTTTCAGTATGAACAGCAAATTTAATGTTTTCATTCCTTAATTTATAAAGAATATGGTGAAATTCGACATCAGTTTCCAGAGGCTCAATTCCATAAGAAACATTTTCAAATTGCAGTATTCCTCTGTAAAGTTAAGGATATAAAAAATAAGTGCTTTTAGCTCATTTTTAAAAATTCTGACAGAATCAAAAAAAAAAAGAGAAAACAGAACATTTTTGAGCTCAACATTTTGACCCAAATTCTTTATATTTTGAAGATGATTCTGAAAAGACAAAAGATCTCCACCAATCCACAAAATTAACTTCCCATCTCATTTTTGGAGTTATAAATACAGCAGAAATTATGTAATCAGTGTTGGTGTAGTGAACAGCATTCACGGTGATCAAGTAATTCCCCTGTCCTCCAAATCAGTGACTTCATGAAAGCAATACAGAAATCCAGTTTGCACTGCTTTGGGAAAATATAATAAAAAGCTATATAATGAGCAATTTTATTTATAAAATGAAATTTAGCAATAATTATGAAAATACACTTATTAATTTTGTTTATGCACATTGTCTGAGTAACTTTAAAACATGATCTTAAAGAGTAAAACAACTTTTTTAAACTACTCTTCCCTCAATACAGGTGAGTGTTCAGTTCAAGTGAACAGTTCAAGTGACTACTCACTAAAAACCAAATTTCAGATTTCTATGTAAAAGCACTAAGGAACATTTGTGTGTGCGTGCGCACGCACATGTGAGAAACAAGAAGCTTAGGCTACAAAATGAGAGTGAAGAATTTCCTGACATAATAGAAAACTCTTTAATTACTCAGGAGGAAACCCTACAATAGAGAGACTTTCAGATAATGATATTATTAGAAAAATGAGTACCATATTGATAATTATTTGTTTCTACAGAATTGACTTCCTCTGTCTTAAGATGATTTTCCTTGAGAAAAAGCATGCCTTGTTTATATTTACTTCTCCTAGTATCTCCAAACATTAAGCTGGTAGCTGGTACATGATAGGTATCAAAAAATATTCAAAATGCTGAAAAATTAAGCTAGCCTAAATTTAGCTCTCAAACTACCTATAGTCACACACATTCAATTGCCATTTCTCTAGTTAAGAAAAAACAAAATATAGAGCACAGATGCCAGAAAACCTAAACCTTCAAGGAAAGAAATTTTCTGGTCAGTGAGGAAAGTGAGGAGACGTAAAAGATACAGCAGAGACTTTAACTGAATAATCTCCACCTGGGAATTTTCTTCCAACTTCACACTTAATATCAACATAACAAATTCAATGCAGCCAAATATCATAACTATGATGTTCGCCTATCAACAGTAAAAAATACATAACCTCAGTCCCAAGCACGTGCTTAACGTGACAATAGAATTCGGATATCCCTCAACAGATCCTTGGTAGTAGCACTGAGTCTAGAAGAGAAAAAGTGTAAGATGGTTACTTAAAAACTGACAAAACTTTCTAATGATTTCTTATTTGATAGAATTTTCTAAGTATTTTTCCAGGCTATACAGTTTATATCAGTATGAATAAAGAAGTCTACCCACATTTACTACTTTCACTATATTAACTACTCTTATCATATTAATACTTGGGATTATTATTTTACACCCTGCTTCCAAAGTCAATTCCATATTTTTGGTAAAATTATTTTCCAATACATAAATTTAGGTCATCAATTAAAAGACAAAGATTGTTTCACTTGGCATAATACTCTCCAGTTCTGTCCATGCTGTCGTAAGAGGTAGGAGCTCCTTCTTTATTTCTGCTGCGTAGTATTCCTTTGTGTAAATGTATCACAGTTTTTTGATCCATAATGAACAAAATAAACTAACAAGCAAAACAGAACCACAGGCATGGAAACAGGGAACACATTGCAAGTGACCAGAGTGGAGTGGGGAGGGGATAATAATGGCAAGAAGGGGAAGGGAGTAGGAAAAGAACATGTTTGAATGGCCCACAGATGTGGACAACAGTGTGGGAATTGATTGTGGGAGTGGGGGAGGGAAAAGGAGAAAAATTGGGACAACTGTAATAGAATAACAATAAAATGTGATTTAATAAATAAACCTATACTTCCATCAGTAACTGATAAATCAAGCATTCAGAATCTATAGAAGGTTTGAACAGCATGATAACAGCTTAATACAGATAGAAAAGTATACTTTAGAACTGTAGAATACACTTTCTTTTTAAAGAACACGGCCCATTTACAAAAATAAAACCATATGCTAGCCATGAAGCACAAGAATGCATTTTAAATTATTGAAATCATACAAAGTTTGGTCTCTGACTACAGTACAATTATACTAGATATATAATTTCCAAGATTCAATAGTGCTATAACTTTTGGTAGAAATCAGTGTAAGATTTGTTAACACACTGCTTTACGTTGGAATTAGGGGAGGAAAGAAGCAGCAAGAAAAAGAAATTGATGGTCTTATCCAATACAAATGAAGTAACATGGTGTCCAATTTAGTATTTCAACAAATTTTTATTATATGCTAATTATGTGCCAGGCATTTTTCTAGGCATTGGGGATACATCAGTGAATAATACAGATGAAAAACCCTACCTGGTGAGGACTACGTTTTACTGGAAAATCAAAAAATAAAGGAAGTAAATAAAGTAGATGACTCATCGTATACTTGAACCAATATGGGGAAAAACAAAACAGGTAAGAGAGTACTAAGTGTAAGAATACAATTTAAAATAGGGGTTAGCCAAGGGCTAAGGGGGTGATTTTGAGCAAAGACTTGAAGAAAAGGAAGGAGAAAGATAATGTGGTATTTTAGAAAGGAATAAACATCTGGATCAGAAGAAATAGAAAGTGTAAAATTCTTGAAAGGAAAACATGTCTGGTATGTCTGAAGAAGAGCAAGGAGAGAAATGTGATCAGAACAAGTGAGTAAGGTAGAAAATAACAGGAAATGAGGTCAGACAGGTAAAGAGGGCCAGACTGTATAAAGGCTGTAGGATACGAAATGATTTTGGTTTTCACTTTGGTGAGCAACAAGTGGTCATCCCATGCAGCGTTCTGAGCAGAGAAGTGACATGATCTGACTGGATTTTAACAGGATCCATCTGGTTGCTCTGTTGAGCGTTGACTGAGAGGATGTGCAAGGTGTGGAAGTAGAAAGATTATTCAAGAAGCTCTGGCCATAATACAATTAAATATGATGTTTACTTGGAAAAGAGTGGTATCAGTGGATGGAGACAGAGGAAAAGGATGGGTTATGGCTATACAATACTATAATTTAAAGGCTACCCTTTAGATTCAATAGGATTTCTTCATGGATGGGATAGGGTAGAAATTTCCAACCTTTGTCATCTCATGGCACATACAAACTTATTACTAAAATTCTGCAGCACACTGAAAAATATATTATTTTGCCAATCTGACAAAAATAAATTAGGTATAATTTGATTCATTCATGCCAGATGGCTATTGTTGTGTTGGCCGCTGTCATTTTTTTATTTGGCAATCTAAGGAAAAAGAGGTCAGTGCCCCCGACTAAATAACCAGGTATTACATGTTTTACAAACTCTTGCAGCGCACCAGCTCACAATCACTGGGAATGGGGGGTAAGGGGAAGAAAAGGTTCTCAACCTATGATTTTTATGTCCAGTAATATTTGTGTTTGCTTTTATTATTCTTTAATTTAGGTTCATTAATTTTAAAAAAACCTAATTAATTAATTAACTAAATGGTACCTATATTCTAAGCAGAATAAAAGGTACTAAGTGAATACAATTTGTCTTTAATTACCAAGACTTCAGGAAACCCTAATAATGGGAGAAATTCAGTTTAAAAAAAGGGATCCCTTAAACATATTCCTTGTGAATAGAATCTTCTGTATTAGGAAAGCATTTATTCATTGTAAAAAAAGGTTTTAAAATTTTTCTAAAATACAGAACTTAAATCTTACCTCAATATTTGAAGAATGAGAATTCACAGATCCTTGATTATACAAATAAACCATAAAATTATCAGCTAAAAAAAGGCTGAATGTAAAAAAAATGAATTTTAAAAGTTATTTTTTTTAAATTTTATTTTAATTTATTTTTTCAAATACATTTGTCTCTGCCTCCCCGCCACCACTTTCCCTTGCCCCCTCCCTCTTTCCCTCCCTCAGCTCTTCCCCTTTGGTTTTGTCCATGAGTCCTTGCTATATGTTCCTTGACTTTCCCCTTCCCTTCCTTTTCCCCTGCCCCCCCCCCCCCCACCTTCTCTCTTGTCTCTGTTGATTTCTTTTCCTCTCAGCGTTGCTGGTCTTATTTTCCTTGCATCTTTGTATTGTTGGTTCAGTTCCGCTTATAGGTAAGATCATATGGTATTTGTCTTTCGCCCCCTGGCTTATTTCGCTTAGCATAATGCTCTCCAGTTCCATCCATGCTGTCGCGATTTTTACTAAAAAGTTACTCTTTTTGAAACATATAAAGCAGTGACCAGCAAGCTAACAAACAGCCTCAGGCCAAATCTGACCTACTCTCTATTTTTGTAAATAAAGTTTTATGGGAACAGAGCCAATATTTATTTGCTGGGCTTTTAGACAAAAAGTCTGCCAACCTCTACTAAAGGTATTTTATATATATATAATTTTTATTCAAAGCAATACACATTTACTCAAAATAATTTTCCTATCTTAATGGACTCCTTTAAAGAAAATAAGGAAAAGGGACTACTAGATGCAGGAATGTGAGAGCTATTTTTTCACTTGTTTTAAACTTTATTACCATAAATATGTATTTCCTTTATAATGGAATAAAGGAGTATTGTGTAAAAGTCGTATTAATCTGAACACAGGTACTAAAACTACAGTCTAAGTTCAACCTTCTCTGGTACTATACTATTTTAGTTAGGCTTCGTCATCTCATGCCTGTTCCTCAAGCCAATGTTACATAACTAGACCACCAGACTAAATTCCGTTGGGAATCCTCCACTAAAACTGGTCTCATATAGATTAATTACCTTATGACCAAAAGGTAGTTTGAAGTCAAATCCAAAAGGTAGTTTGAAGTCAAGTGAGACTACTCTAAAGCACTACATATTGTTGACCACATTCCCCTTCTTTAAATCATCTGCTCTTCAACTTCAATCATACCATTTCCTCCTGGTTTTCCTCATATCTTTCTACTTCTGTAAATCCCTTCATTGGCTCCTCGCTTCTTCCCTTAAATGTTTCCATTCATTTGTGGGTTGTTTTTCCTTCTTGGCTTTAATATTTACCCTCATCTCTGTAGATTTATCTTGTTCATTTCTGGTGCTTCCTTTATACCTCCATAAAAAGATGCTTTTAAAACCCACACCTCTCTTCCATGTTCTAAACTAAATCTACTGGCCAACTAGACATTACTTCTGGGATAGCCCACTAGCACTTCACGTGCAACCTCTCCAAAAATGACCCCACATTTTCCTTGACTCAGATCTGTTCCCCTTCTGGTTTACTGTGCCTCTAAATCTCTGCCACCACTCACTATAGCCAATCTGCTAGGTAATCTTTCTCCCACCACTTCTGTATTTCTCAGAAAAAAAAATCCCTACCTCTACCAAATCATAGTTCTGCTTCTCCTTGTTTCTAGTGTAAGTTATTTGCAATAACATAATTGGTATTATGCTGTCTTCATCATCATGTAGGAAATCTCCCAAATACACACATGCTCTGTCCATAGGCCATGCTTCAGTCCCTCTCACTTTCCCTCTTATACACCTAAAAAGTTATTTGTGTTATCATTCACCATATTCTTCCCTTCTGTCCACAGGAATAGGTTAACTCTTTTTTTTACTCAATGCCATTCTTTGGCATCTTACACAAAATCACTTGTTTACATCTCTCTTTAAGAAACTTCCCCTCAGCCAAAATACTTTGTTTCTTTCTTTGAAAGCATTCTGCTGACCTCTTCTTTCTTCTTTTTCTGCCCAATGTTTTTGGTAAGCTATTTATACTTACTATTTTTGGTTTCTCACAATTATCTTCTCCTTAATTCCATGTAACCTAGCTCTACACCCAAAATTTAACGGCAGTTGTCCTCTTGAAAGTCACAACTTACTTCCAAGCCAGCTCTTCACAACTGGGTTTCCGTTAGCAAATTAAATCTTATGAAGTTATTTAAATTATTTTCTTAATTCTCTGAAAGATGATACATAGCTAATACTGTTTTCCATAAATTATTCACTAGCTGCCAGTGTGTGATCTAATTTCTATATAAATCCCTTATAAATAACCCTGATGCTGGACCTGCCTCCCTGATCAAATTTTAACTAATACAATCAGTTACAGGCTTAGTTCTTATTTTGACATCCTCGCTTGATTATACAGACTGAGACAAAAGTAGGTTTAGAGTTGTTCATAGATTTCTATGCTATACTGTAAGCCTACGTTTGCCCCACCCTGCAGAGGTCCTGCTCTTTCCACCAACTTAAGATCATATACATTAATGTTCAGGAGGTGAGTCCCTATTTTTTCTATTCCTAACCCCCCTATTCACAAAAGACTAAATGAGACATTAAAACCAAAAATTTAATGAATTCACAGGAGAGCATCTGTTTATCTGAGACAACTAAAATTTAATAACTATATTTATTATTTTAGTAGTCCATTTTTATTATAAGTAAACAAATTCATGTAAATTAAGTGAAATCCAAAACTTAAGAAAAAAATTACCTTTGCTTCAAGTGCACAATATATGGTTTCTCATCTATTGGAATAATATAGGATATCTGTTTCTACAAAATCCAGAAAAACTGGGAATGAACACAAATATAATAGAATAAGCTAAACAACAATATTATATCTATTAATCCCTCCAAAGAATGCTTAAAATGTCTTGATTAAAACATTTCACTATGTGTTTAGTCATATGTTTGCAACAACATATCACAAATTTTAAAGACCAAAGGTACCTGAATGTCTTTTTAAATGAGTACAACTCTAGCATCCTGAGATTCCAGTTATGTAAATGTATTTGTTTACCAGTAGGTTTGTGAAATTGGTTCTTTGCATGGGGGACAGTCCTTTCTCACACATATAGATCTTTTCAGAAGTGTAGGAAATTGGCAGCTTAGGGTACTTTCAGTCTAGACTGATATTTGTCACACCCCAGATAAGATGCAGAATATTATATATTTGCATTTTATGAACACTAGTTAAATGAAACTGTTCAAGCCGTTTTTATAGTTTTGATGCACAATGCAATCTAAATAAGTGCTTCTATCAAATAATCTTCCAGTAAAATGTATATTGTTTATTGCCCATGATGAGCAAAACATGAGTACTTATCATTGGACTTATTTGAATATTAGAATGAGATTCAATGCCCGTATCTTGACAGTTCAACAGTTCAGTTACCCCCAGTGCCGCTTTCCCCTTTTAGAGTGAGTCACATGCAGGGAGTGTGAACATTGGGAGGGGTTATTATCCAGTCTACCTTACCCTTAATCTGTTCACAGATGATTATTTACGAATGGTATTTTTTCCTTAAGAGTTATGGGATAGGAAAATGAAGTGCTTGTTTTTCATTTACTAAATGATTGTAAACTCAAGTTTTCCATCAAAATAAAATTCCATTGTTTTAATGTTTAAAAAATCTTAGCATTTATCTATTATATAATACATTTTATTTCCACAAAAATAAATCCAATAGAGGGATTTATACAGTATTAGTTACTGTATAAATCTATACATAACTAAATTTACACTCTTCACATAAAAGAGCCTGTGTGCTATGTGGTAATGTCCGCTCAGGTGGCCTCGTTGGGAAGGTAAGGCCTATTTACATCAGTGAAGCACAAAAATTATTTTAACCATTTCCTAAAAGGTATTGCCTATATGTTTCAACAGAAAATTCTTGAACAAAATTTGTTTTCAAGTTTTGACAAATGTATCAACATGGTTATAAAGGATGATAACTTTAGGAGAAAGTGAGTGAACATATATGGGAACTCTCTGCAGTGTCTTCATAATTCTTCTGTAAATCTATAATGATTCCAAAATTTTTTGCATATTTTTAAAAATCAAAACCAGAAATGAAGAAAGAAGTAAAACAGGTCTGTGGCAGACAGAGGGTTGGCCTGATAGGATGGCTAGATCTTCATCTCTCAGGGTTCTAGGCCCCCAGTTACTTATCAGGCCATACTTCCTATATGTTCTCATTTAGAGTTAAAACCTGCATGGGAATTTTAAGAAAAGTCGCAGTGGCTCACCTGAATGCCAAACACTTGCCTCTGTGCCTTCCCTAATTCAGCAGCACCTCTAAGTCTTCATGATGATCGCAGCAAATTATCCTGCCAATATGGCAGTTTCTTTTCTCTGAGAACTCGTAGATGATCGGGTAAAGAGTAAGGAAGGAAGGAGGCTTTATTTTTAAAAAAGAGTCTCCTTATCCTTTTTGGAGAAAATTATTCTCTTCATATGAGTCATCTAGATATCACTCAGATAAGACCCTAATTCTTCTACATTATTTCCTGTATTTGAACTTTTAATAGTTTTACCATGAGGAAATGACATTAAACACAGTAGAACATTTAAGGTACACATTTGCCTTTGTCACCAAAACTTTAAGTTCCTTATTAGCAGTAATACTGGGAACTTATATTCATACTATAATAGGACTGATACATTTCATTGCTATATGATAAAAATAAGAAATTTCATACAATAATATTGATTGTCAAAAATATATCTTACATTTTCTACTTCTGAATTATCACTTGTATTTGTTTGGATTTTCTCTGGAAATACAACCTGGACAGATGAACTTTGAGAATCTGAAGAAATAAAATACAGTTAGTAATTGTGTCTTAAACCTGACTAAATATTTGTTGAGGTTCTTTCATAAGATTCACTTACACAAATAAGTTATCACTGTACACTCTAATAAAAATATTTAAAATAATTTAAAAACAGACCCAATAGTTATAAGGCACCATAAAAAGCACAGGGGGGAATGTATCAACTTACACAAAATTTGCTGTTCCTTAAGAAAACAGGACAGACCAAAAATACTCAGAGATAAACTTCAAGACAATTTTCCTGAATTAAAACATTTGAAACAATAGGCTCAGGCTAGGTTACCTAATCAATGGGATGAGGATTATTATGGTAGGAAGGGCCAGAGAGAAACCTCTGAATTCACTGTACTACAGTAAAATCCAATAACAATTAATTAAAACTGAGATTATTCTACGTAAGTTAGTGGCTATCTAAGATAAAGAAATAACCTATGGGCATATGAGCAAAAAGGGAAAAAAGGAAAATTATATTGGGCATACAGGAAGAAAAACAGGCTGGCTGCTGGCTTGTGAACTTTTTAAAACAATATTTAACATTAAAAAACTGAATAACAATGTCTTTTTAAAATCTTCATGAAAAAAGTATGGAACCAGGAATATTTTACCCAGCAAAACTGTTACTGAAACATGGAAGCAAAAGAAAGATGTTTTCAAGCAAAAACATAAGTAATACAGTTTACATGTGCCTGCCGGGGAAGGCAGATGAACTTCTCCCAATAAAGATTAAAAAAAGAGTTGAGGAAAAAGGCCTAGTAGTGGCGAGCATTAAACAAGCGTAAACACAGAATAAAGGTTAAAGCAATTAACCCTGCAGAAATTGTAGTTATTTAATTAAACATAAATGTTCTAAACTATGATTTTATAGGCATAATAATATACACAATAATGTCACAAAGTATAGCAGAAGAGGGATACCATATGTGCATACTGATTTCCTTAAATTTATAACAATGTGGTTAAAAAAAAGAAAATATGACTTAAAGCTGAAAACCAAGTGGTAGAAATAGGAACATATTGTTTAATGATATAAAAGTATAGAAGAATTAAAACCATAGTCATGCAATAAAGGAGAAGGCAGGAAGTAGGAAGATGTAGTAAGATACTAAATTTCCTAATCACAGTGAGGAATCACTAGTTACTACCTAAATAAAGGATTAAATCTATTATATAAAACAGATTATAAATATTCCAAATTAAGAGGAGAATACACAAGACACCTAAAAAATAGTCACAGATTTTTATGGTAAAAGATTTTTTACCAAAACAAAGCATTAAGTCAATAAAGTATGACATAAATAAGAAGTATTGAGATTAACAATCTGTCATATCAAGAAATGAAAGTAGGATGAAGTGATCAACTAGAAGAAAAATTCTCAGATTGGATCCACAAAATAAAAACCCAATTACTCAGGCCTTCTGTGGAATAATGAATACTGGATCTAAGCTAATACTAATTTTTGATCGCTTCTCAGCCTTTTGGCTAAGATCAAGTGTAAGCTAATACTAATTTTTGAGGACCTAAAAGATGTATGCTTACCAGAAAAAGTCAGGCAATTAATGTTCAAATCTATGAGTGTACTTCTGGGTCTACAAATTAATCCTCTCACAATTTTCCCAATTATGGAACCATGTGTAGAAACAAACAGAATCAGTAACTTGTGGAATCCCCATCTAGCCTGCCTAACCAATGGGATGAGGGTTATTACGGTAGGAAGAGCCAAAGAGAAACCTCCAAATATCATCTGCACCATCACCAAAAATTAAACCCAAAGTCTTTCAGAGTCCAGAAAAGTAGCCCCACTATGGAATCTAATGAATAAATGAACTAACAAGCAAAATAGAGACAGACTCATAGATACAGAGCAGCCCAACAGCTCTGGCGGGGGCAGGGAGTGGATTAGGGGGTGGAGGGATAGAGCTAAAAAGACAAAGGACTCCTGGATATGGACAACCGTCTGGCGACAGTGGTGGGGAAGTGTGGGTGCGGTGGAAGAGGGTATAAGGGGGAGAAATGGTAATGGAAAAAACACAGTAAGAAGTGATTCGATAAAATAAAAAAAGAAATATACAGAGGCGGTAATCCCTATTATATTCCCCTATTATTTGTTTGATCTGTATTATTTGTTCGATCTGTGAGATACCAGAGAATGAGTTGTTTGAAGTTTAATGAGGTGATGATTGAAATAACAAATATTGTTCAAAATATGGTCTCTTTAGTGAAGCAAATCAACAGTGGCATTGGCACCTGTATGTAAAAATGGATAGGAAAAGGTGCTACCCAAATAAGCAGAGTTACCGCAGCAAATCCGCATTATCACTTGGCAGTGATGGCATTACAGCTTCCCCATCATATTGCCTCAGGTCTTTATCATCTCTAGCTCCGCTCCTCCCTCGGCTCTAAACATATCACACTCTGTGGTGGATAGAATAATCCTTCTCCTAATCCCAAGAGCCCCTGAATATGGTACATTACATGACAAATTGTAATGGAAAATTAATGTTGCTGAACAGCTGAACTTAAAATACAGAGATTATCCTGGATTAATCTCTGGGGGGACAGAAGAGAGAACCAGAAGGACGGCAGTGTGAAAAGAACGCAGCCCAACGCTCTTGGCTTTAAAGATAGGGGAAAGGGGACACAAGCCCAGGAATGCAAACAGTCCTTACAACTGGAAAAGGCAAAGAAACAGACTGTCTATCACAGCCTCCAGAAGGAATAGAGCAGTGCCAACCCCTTGATTTTAGCCCAATGAGACCCATTTTATAGAACTGTAATATAATGTTATATAACAGTAAGAAATTACTATAACATCTGAGAGGAAATCATTCTGGAGACTATGTTCATAACATCATGCCTATAAGACCTGAACTAGCAGGTATATTAGATGCCTTGGTAAGCAGCAGATGTGCCAAATTCTGGATTAAACACACACACCCCCACACACCCACCCACCCCCACACACATACACACACACCATGCACAAGAAAAACCCACCTACAATGGCCTAGTAGTCCAGGAGACACTGGAAAATAACCTCCATAATAAATGACAAGAGGCATTTGGACTTTGGAGGCAACACACATAACATATGTCTGTGCTGCTTTGCCCATTTCACTGAAAAATCATAGGCTGCCAGCTTTGTGAGATGCCAAAGTAAAAGAACACTCCTCAGTTGACTGAGGCTTCTGTGCAGGCAGCTCTAGTGTTTTCCATTCATGGCCGGGGGAACCTATAGCGCACTAAGGATCTGTGACAGGTGTAAACCTGAGTAGAGCCTGTGGTAAGCCCCGCTGGGAGAACCTCAGTAAAGGCCCCTGAGGTACTGAAGCAAAGACATGCTCTCACCGGCATATGCAATGGTTTGAACGATGGTTTCCCCCGTCCCCAGGAAAAGATATGTCCATTCTTTTCTGTGGATGCAACCTTATTTGTAATTAGCTAAGGATTTAAGAGGAGACCTTCCACATTGGGATGGACCATAAATGCAATGACATGTGTCCTGTAAGTAAGAGAAGGGGCGAATAAACAGAGGAGATAGTGACACGAAGACAGAGACAGAAATTGGAGTAGTATGTCTACAAGGAATACTAAGGATTTCTGGCAGCCACCAGAATCTAGGAAAGAGGAATGAAAGAGATTATTTGTCATAGTTTCCAAAAGAAATCAATATATTGATTTTGGATTTCTGGCCTTCAGAATTGTAAGGGATTAAATTTCTGTAGTTTGTGGTATACTTTGTCATGGCAAACCACAAGGTATTAATTTAAGTATGTAACTATATTTATTTTATGCAAGTTTCTAGCTCACAGAGGCTAAAATTCAGACCATGTGATGCTATAGGATCTTGCAACCTGAGCTCCTCTTCAGAGACTGACATAATCAGTCACTAACTGCTTCAAAGGACACCATGCATCAGAAAAGATGGAAGAGGGATACATACACTTAATTGCCTCGATCCAAAATCAACACATCTCTTCTTCTGAACCCCAAGAGCAAGAGGTAATTGAACCAATTTAATGGAAAAAGGCCAAGAAGTGTAGGCAAAATATAGATGCTCAGTGAGCACCAGGGATTTTGTTGCATAAAATGGGGAAAACATGTTTACAACAAATATTAATCAAAGAGCAGTTGATGTAGTTATGCTAACATTAGCAAAAATAGAATTTAAGGTGTCAAAGCATTATTAAGAATAAATAGTGACAGGATACGGTTAATAAAAAGAAACCAAAATGAATTTAAAAAAATTGAAACCCTACTTCACACCATATACAAAAATTAACTCAAAATGGATCAATGAAGACTGTTCTGAGTTGGTACTGCTGGCCTGTGCCTGGCCTCCTGCAGCTATGCCAACTGCCCGCCTGCTGGGCCCTGGAGTGACCCTGGGCCTCAGAAAGTGGTCCAGGGCCTTGGGCTTGCAGGAAGTGAACCAGAGACCACAACACCCGTTGCAGGTCAAATACACTGGGACAGAGGTTGACAAGCTGGCCAAAGTGCTGATACCCACCAGGTTAAAAACCAGCCCGCCAGCATTGCATGGGATGGCCTTGAGCCAGGTGAACTCTTATATCTTGGTTTTGGCAGACCCACATGCTCCCAGCAGGACCCCAAATAAAGGCAATGGCACCATTTTCTGGCAGTCCAATTACGTGGGCTCTGGACCTTCTGAGGCCATGGGCCTCCCAAGGACACAAGACTTCACCTCCATGTCTCTTTGGTTCATAAGTAGGACAGGCTGCTGAAGTGTAAAGAGCTCATTCTCAGCAAGAAATCTGGAGACCACCATGGAAAATTCAAGGCGTCATCTTTCCACCAAAAGTAGGAGCTTGGTCCCCAGTGGCTGGCATGTATTATGAGGCAGAATGGGGCGACTGTGCCCAAGCTCTATGAGCAGCAAGCTGGGAAATAAGGGAAACCAGGAGACAGAAATCACCCTGGGAGCCCTGAGCAGTGTCCTCAACTTCAGTGATACATGCAGATTTCTCCTCGTCCCTGTTCCCATTCTCACAGGTGAGACCTGAGCAGAAAGGGGTTTAGAGTGACTTTTCCTTCTACCTTTCCTTTATATTGTACAGGCTCACACACCCTGTTTTATGTTTTGATAAAATTTTTAACTCCACTTTGGGGGACTACATTAGGACTATTATGGGGTCATCAGTTGTAAACATATGAATAGAAACCCATAATCTAAAGAAGAAAAAATTGGGGTAAGAAGAACAGGTCTATAGTAATAGAGCAGAATATCAAAAAAATAAAATAAAATAAAGTTTGAGAGGTTAAAAGGAAAAAAAAAAAACGTGATTCACTGCATCTGCCTTTGTGAGCCCAAGTCCAGAATTGTGCATGTTGGCCCCTTCTGAGATGTGTTTTCACAGCCCTGTCTTCATCTGACACCAAGCTGGTATGCCCACTAACCCCCAGTATGGTACATCTTTCGAGGTATCAGTATCCCACTCTGGCTCCTTTTTTTTTAACCCCGCACCCAGAGACATGCTTACTGACTTTTTTAGAGAGAGGAGAAGAGAGAAAGAGGAAGAGAAACATGATATGAGAGAGAAACAGCCATTGGTTGCCTCTTGTAATTGCCCCAACTGGGTTGGAACCCGCAATCTAGGTATATGTCCTGACCAGAATCAAACCCATGAACTTTGTCATTGTTAACATCATGAGAACGATGTGCATGACATTCATGAAACCTGGCAGCCAAGGAGAGTGGACTGGAATGCACGTGCATGAACAATGACGACTTCACTGTACTAGTCAGTAGATGCCATTAGGTGAGCATGTGTACTGTGTGGCTGTCGCATTCAAAACGACTGAGCAAGTAGCCCAATGAAGCTGCATTAAGTTTTGCATTAAGCTTGAACATTCTCCTGTGGAAAATATTCGGACGATTCAGAAGGCTGCAGCTGTGGGCAGCTAATGATTGGCAGCTTCATCACAACAACGAGCCCACTCATGCATTACATCTCGTGCAGTTTTTTGGTGAAACATCAAATCACCAAGGTGACACTTCTCCCCTTACAGCACAGATTTGTGACTTCTGGTTTTTCCCAAAACTAAAATCACCTTTGAAAGGGAAGAGATTTCAGACCATCCATGAGATTCAGGAAAATACGATGGGGCAGCTCATGGCGACTGGGAGATCTCTGTAAGGTCCCAAGCTGCCTACTTTGAAGGGGACTGAGGTGTCATTTTCCTATGTACAATGTTTCTTGTATCTTGTATCTTCTTCAATAAATGTCTCTATTTTTCATATTACATGGCTGGTTACCTTCTGAACAGACCACATATATTGTCTTAGAGCCAGGGATTAATTGAGGCTTTAAGGAAAAACAGCCAACTAGTCCAGCAATGTTTTCACAGCACACTCCCAGGAGAGGAAGACCTGCTCCACCACAACTTACATCCTGGAGATTTTGTCCATTGGAAAAGACATCTCAATAAGGATGCTCTACAACCCAGTGGAAGGGACCTTACCAGGTACTTTTAATTAATCTTAAGCCAAACTTAAAGGCACTGATTCCTGGATTCAGGTTTCTCATTTAAAGAAATCAACACCTACATGGCAATCTGCCCCTATTGGAGACCTAAAGCTCAAAATTTCCAAGGAGCAGACGCAGCAGACACCATCTGAATAGAAAACTTTCCTAAGATTCTGGACCAAGCCAATATAACCTCATGCTTTTTCCTCTGGACAATTTGTCAGGAGAACTCTTTTATCCACTTTTCTATGTGCTGAAAGCGCATGACAATATGTAGCTTACAGTGGTTAAGAACTTATAATTCAGAAAAACTGCTATTCTTATATTTTTATATGCTATTCTTATAACCTCCAGCTCATCAACTTTTATTTCACTTAGAACTCACATGTGCCTTGGCTGGTGTGGCTCAGTGGATTGAGCGCTGGCCTGTGAACTGGCAAGGTCGCTGGTTCAATTCCCAGTCAGGGCACGTGCATGGGTTGTGGGCCAGGTCCCCAGTGGGGGACACACAGGAGGCAAACACACATTCATGTTCCTGTCCCTCTCTCCCTCCCTTCCCCTCTCTAAAAATAAAATAAATAAAATCATTAAAAGAAGTTCTTCCTAATAAAGCAAAATATTACTTAAAAAAAAAAAAAGAACTCACATATTAGCTAGTACACCAGCCACCTTTCCTGAGTTCTCACAATGGCTACTGTTAATAGAGATAATTTTAGCTCTTGATTTGGCCTCTTTTTGTAACCTTCATGCTAAAAATTACACTTTATTACACCCTCTTGTCCCTACCCTACAGAAGCTTTCTGAATCTGCAGATCTCACTGGCGCT